AGGGCTGACTTGTCATTGAACTTGGAGGGAGTTGATTTTTGTGCACAGCCGAACAATGTCCCTCTGTAGCTGTGAACCCCAAATGGGCAGGGTTACTGCCGGTCAGTGCTGACACATCCAGGCTGCAGGCAAGAGAATACAGCTGTGTGCTTCTCAAAGCCTCTCATTCCTGTGCCCATGGATGGGTCCACTGGAGACTCTGAATGCTCCTGCTCTGGCCAGTTCCCAGCCACAGGGCCCCATGGCAACCCCAGAGTAAGTTTAAAGTCCACCAGGGACACCAGGAGGAGGAATGGGGGAGCATGCTGGGTACATTCTGTGGCATTGGCTGGCATCTAACCTCTCATACTAGCTGGTATTCATGGATGTTGGTTTCATCATTTGTACTTCATAATTCGTACTACACAGAGTCTCTGAACTGAGAAGCCATCTGGAAGATTCTCTGAAGGATTAAGAACTCGTTGACTTTTTTTTTTTAATCCCACACTATTTTGAAACACTTGGGAGCTGACTATTATAGCCCTACCCTGTGGTCTGGAAATTCCAGGATTGTATGTCTGTCTCTTTAGGTGAAGGGGAAGAGTTGGTGTGTATACCTATGCAGGTGTGTACATGTATGTGTTAGAGGCTAGAGGTCAACCGTGGGGATCATTCCAGAGGTTCCATCCATCTTCCTTTTGAGACAGGGCCTCTCATTGGCCTGAGACTCACTGAGTAAGCTAGGCTAGCTGGTCAGCAAGACCTAGGTATTCTCCTGCCACACCTAGGTTTTTGGTTTTTCTCACATGGGTTCTGGAGGAACCAATCTCAGGTCCTCACTCTTGCAAGGCAAGCACTTTATGGCCTGAGCTGTCTCCCCAACTCCAATATACTCTCTTCACCCTGAGGAAACAGCCTGGCCTTCTGGGTCAAACAAGAGGACTGGTGATGATGGCGGCAGCAATGTCATGGTGACAATGATGCTGATAGCTAATACCAACTCAATAGTAACACTCCTGTTAGTAATAGTAGCAGTGTGACACTGTCATCAGTCCAGATACTCTTTGAAACATTTTACATTTATTGATACATTTAATTTTCACAGTCACCCTGAGTAATAGGCAACATTACTGTCTCAACTTTACAGAAAAACTGGCTGAGAGGTCTAAATATTTTTCTAAAGCCAGAAAGGTTAACGGTGACAGGCAATTATTTGACCCTAGCACAGGGTCTTGTCACAGTGCCCATAAGAAGCCAGACACATCTACAGCATCCATCCAAGCAGCCCCGTGTCCAGTTGTTCCCTAAACATTCTGGGATGTTCATTAAACCCTCATCTGACTCAGGTCTCTGGGGGAACAACTTGCTTAAACCAGAGAAAGCCTGGTGATGTCCCCCTGCCTGCCCGCCTGCCTGAGTCCTTGCCTCTCCTTCCCCCGGCCTTCAGGACCTAGGCTAAATCATTGGCCTTGTGGCTAAGGATGTTAATCCATTCATCAATCTGGGGCACCATCCTGGTTTCTTGTTACTATGATAGAGTATTCTGACAAAAGCCACTTAATGGGGAGGAAAAGAAGGCTATTTCAGCTCACAGTTCAAGGGACAGTCCATCATGGTGGGGAGTCAAGGCAATGAGAACTAAACCAGGTTCCCAGTTCCTGTTCTTCATCCTCATAGCTCAGGATCCCAGCTGGGGAATATGACCCCCACGGTGAGCAGTTCTTCCCAACTTAATTGACATAATTAAGATAATAGCACAGGCATGCCCAGAAGCCCATCTCTCAAATGATTCTGGACACCATGAAAGATTAACATTAACCATTAACCATCATAGACAGCCAAGGCTCTGACTCCCATCTTGCATGGTTGCCCAGTCCTCCAATCTGATGGCATTGTCTGTCTGCCTGGGTCTCTCCTCACTCCTAAACATTTATGTAAAACACGCATGTCCTCGGCTCACCAAGCCACCTGGAACAGGAAGCTCACATGGGTGCTTCTCAGTCTTCGTAAACTTATTTGAATATGCCTTATCTGGAAATTATATCTTCCATTATCCAGAAATGATATAACCTCTAACCCATGCTGGGTTTTCTCAGTGTTGGGGTTGACAGCCTATAATTTCAAAGCAGCCACCTCAAGGCAAGAAGTAGGAATATAATTAATATTTTACATTTCTACTAAAGTTCTGGGAAGACAGAATAGACTTTCCGCTCTAAAATGGCCAATACCACAGCACAGATGTGTTTCTTCAGCAACTGTCTCCTATTCTTAATGGCTATAAAACTGTTAATGAGCTTCAGGGAGACTTATTTTTTACAGGGTTTCTCAACAGATCTTTAGGCCCATTTCTGCAGACTCCAAGAGTGCAGCTGGTGATTCTGCATGGTATGCACAGGGAGACGTGTATCTCTACTGTAGGCATGGAGACTGCCTTTGGGAAATGAGTTAACATGGCAGGACTTGGGTGGAGGGTTCCTTGTGCACATGGAGGTCAGAGGTCAATTCTGGGTGTCTTCTTCAATCACTGTCAACCTTATTTTTTAATGACTTAAATGTTTAATTACATGTATATGTCTTTGTGTGGTGTATGCATGTGAGTGCAGGTTCCCATGGAGGTCAGAGAGGTCAGATAACCCTGGAACTGGAATTATAGATAGCTGTAAACTGCCTGCTGTTGGTACTGCCACATCCAACTTTCCCATGGGGGCCTGGGATTGAACTCTGGCCTTTGTGCTTGAACATCAAGCGCTTTACTGACTAAGCCATCTCCACAGCTCCCATGACAGACTTTCTTAAATTGAGCCAGGTGGTGACACACACCTTTAATCCTAGCACTCAGGAGACAGAGACAGGCAGATCTCTGTGAGCTCAAGGCCAGCCTGGTCTACATAATAAGTTCTAGACTAGCCAGTCTGCACAGTGAGATCCTAACCCTATCTCAAAAACAAGCAAATAACAATGAAATAAAGAAAAAACAAGAAATTCCATTCTCTGTATTTATCAAAGTGTCATGATGCACTTTTTTATCTTAATTCTGTGCATCAGAACAATCTAGTTCTCCGAGATTAAAGACAAGAAAGGAACCGTGGGTTCTGCTGAGACTGACCTTCAACCCCTGGCACTCTCAGGCTGTGGAATGGTCCACATACCTAACAAGTATGAAGTGTCATTCCTTCCCACTGTGTTTTCTGCCTGTGGAGAGGGACCCCTGGGAACATGGACTGTTGGTAGCACATGAGATGGTTTCTGAAGGTTCTGAACGGACATTAAAAGCATTAAGTTCCATGCTGAGGAAGCTAGCCCATCTCCATTCCTTTCATTCTCCTATGTGATACAGAGGGGGACAGCATGCTAACACTTAATTTCTTTTTTTAGCCAGGAGAAAGCAGGCCCCTGCCCTGTGGCCAGCTAGAAACACACAGCACAGATCTTCATTTCAGTTAATCTCATGGGAACTAACTGTTTAAAGCTAACAATCTGTTTTTTTCTCATTTCCTATACCTTGAGCAAATTTAAAGAAAAATAAAATGGTCAATGGTCTGAGTCCGCATGTGGGGGCTGCACGTTGAAGACGCCTGCCAGTCGGCACCAAACCTTCCCACTGGCTTCACTGAAAACTGGCCTGGCCAGCTTGGAAGAGCCTAAGGCCTGGGCCTCAACCCACCAAGAGTTTAAGAATCTCACCCCTAGCCAGAAATGGGCAGCACCTGCATGTATACATAGGCATCCAGAATTTTGAGCAGATGGACCCCCCAAGTTGGTCCCAGGTCACGTGTGCTGCCTATGATGAGGAACAGGACGTCGTTTTCCCACAGCAATCAGAAATTGAAATTTGGACTCGCTGTCTGCTTCAGTGACATTTGGAATTGAGAACTCTTTATTTTTCAGCTTAGATGATAATATCTCAGCAGGAAACCAGAGGCTTTAAATTCCATCAAGATCCTAGCTCATCGCCATTCAGAAAAGATCGCCCTAAAGTGGGCCCATTCACTGCCTGCCAAGCGGTGAATAGGAAATGTAAAAGCCAGTGCCACAGTCATTCCACAAGTGGTGAGAGGCAAACCTGGAACTCTTGTTGGCCCTGATGAGATTTTTTCATCTGCTTCTGGCATATGAGCTTCTTGCAGCCAGTGTCAGATCTACTAAGCATGTTCAGATTCTCCCTTTAGAGTTCAATGAGAGAGACCTGTGGCCCCTTCACATTGCTGGCATGAGAGTTCCGTTTTTACCTCCTATCTTTTATCTTTTGTATTGCTAGGGTCTGGACCTCCAGTGCTGCCTTAGTTAAGCTTTGGATTCTCTAGTGGCTGAGTCCTGGAAGAACTCCGACTCCATGCACATTTTTAAAATGGGCTATAGAGATGCCTCTAAGATACTGTCTCTGGCTCAGGAAACATTGAGGAAGAGGGGGCCGAAGGATAAGCCGGAGCACAAGATGTCTGCTGTGAGACAGGCTGCTATAGATGAGAGGGAGACGCACCTGTGAAACATTAACAGCATGGTTGCCTGAGCAAGACCTGCGTGATGACACCAGTTGATGTTCCACTGGGGATGGGTAAAATCTCATGAGGTCCCACCCCTAGATGAAGAGCTGCAGGCAGTTATGGCTTCTGGGAGATGGAGAATCGGTGTTCTCGAGTGACGATCCCCACAATAGCTTATCTAGTCCCAAGTGCTCAGCCCTAAACGCACACATACTAGCAACAGTAAATGGACCCAGCGCCCACTGGCTACCAGTGAAGGTGGATGACAGGGCCTCCAACTAATCTCTCCTCTGAGACAGCATCTTTGTTGTAGGAGAAGGTTTAAAACAGGGTCTCATGTAGCCCAGGCTGGCCTTGAACTTGTTATGTAGCCAAGGGTGATCCACCTCCCAAGGGCTGGGACTGCAGGCATGCTCCACTCCATCTGGCTACATACACCGTCTTGACGGCTCTGATTCAGCATGGTGTCCAATGCTGGTTCATGCAAGCCAATGTTCTTGTTTTTATAGTGTTTTCTTTTTCTTTTTCTCTTCGCAGTACGAGACGCAAAGAATCTAATCCCTATGGATCCAAACGGGCTTTCAGATCCTTATGTGAAACTGAAACTTATTCCTGACCCCAAGAATGAAAGCAAACAGAAAACCAAAACCATCCGCTCCACACTAAACCCTCAGTGGAATGAGTCCTTCACATTGTAAGTGCTCCCTCCTGCCCTGCAATGAACTTGGCCCCACACATCACATACTGCTGACCCCGCTATTAGAGTCATGGGGGGGGGGGATGGCAAATATCTCTTCATCCTCATCCCTACGACCTTCACAGACTACTGTTAAGTGATCACTGCCATTGCTTCTGTTTGATACATAGTGACTTGGTTTACCAGGAGTGTGTAAAGCAAATTGCAATTATTATCAGTCCCTGCTCTGTAACAAAAGAAAAAAAAACTGATTGAGGTGTTAGAGATCATAAAAACATCCAAAATGTGTTCAATCTCTTTCTTAAAAAATTTTTTTTGTTTTTTTTTTTTTTTTTTTTACGAGACAAGGTTTCTCTGTTTTGGAGGCTGTCGGTCCAGCTTGGCCTCGAACACACAGAGATCCGTCTGCCTCTGCCTCCCGAGTGCTGGGATTAAAGGCGTGCGCCACCACCGCCCAGCTTTCTTTTTTTTTTTCTTAAAAATTTTTTTGGTGTTCAATCTCTTGATGGACTCGGTTCTTTTGACAGTTAGGAGAGGCATGGAGTAAGAAGTTAAAAATTTCGCATCAGAGAACAGTGAACACACAGTGTAGAAAGTTCTATTACCACTGAAATAAGGAAGACAGATTCACTTCTAACCAGGGAAAAGTTCCTGAAGGAGGTGACGTTTGAGCTGGGTCTTGGGGGATTGACAGAAATCCCAAAACAGAGGTGAATGAAGGGGAGGAATGGTGAGAGAGAATCAGTAGTGAGGGGGCGTGCACAGGAGAGCCCACTACGGGTCCCCATGGGGACATTCTCAGGAGCACAGGAGGGAGCACTATGGGTCCCCATGGGGACATTCTCAGGAGCACAGGAGAGCCCACTACGGGTCCCCATGGGGACATTCTCAGGAGCACAGGAGAGTGCACTACGGGTCCCCATGGGGACATTCTCAGGAGCACAGGAGGGAGCACTATGGGTCCCCGTGGGGACATTCTCAGGAGCTCAGGAGGGAGCACTACGGGTCCCCATGGGGACATTCTGAGGAAGTGCTTCTTCTGTGAGCAGTCAGAAGGAAAGACATCCACCTGTCAGACAGAAACCACTAAGCTCTGCTCTATAAAGGGCAGGCAGTCTATATTCTAGACATTTGGGTCATATAGGCTCTGTTGAAAAACAACCACACATGATATATAAACAAACAGCCAAGGCTGTGTTCTAAAAAAAACTTTATTTGTACATGCCCTACGTAAATAAATGGTTAAAACTCTGTTCTAATAAAATTTTGTATATAAGCAATGAGTTACCCAGGGTCAGTATTCATTGATTCTTGGTCTTGACAGAGGTTTTGTAGCTAGTTAGTATGAAGGGCTGATATCCTATTGACACAGGAAGGAAATTGAAGATACTGTTTATTTCAGACACAGACCGTGGGCATGTTGGTGTCTCCAAAGACGCCATGATGGAGATGACTTAATGTATTGTGTACGTATTTGTCTTTGCAGCAAATTAAAACCTTCAGACAAAGACCGACGACTATCCGTAGAAATCTGGGACTGGGACCGAACGACGCGGAATGACTTCATGGGTTCCCTTTCCTTTGGTGTCTCAGAGCTGATGAAGATGCCAGCCAGCGGATGGTAAGGAAGCTCGGGGGACCCGGCATGTCTCCAAACCCCATGCAGCTGAGAGAAGCCAGGAAGAGGCTGGCGAGAGCCCCCGATCACCGTCTATGGGCCCTGGCTGTGATCCCTGTAGAGTCATCTCTCCAGCAGCCCGACTAGAGGCTGAGGGAGAAGAGCCGTTGACTGGCCCTTACCCTCTCTTCTCCCCCTGTATTTGAAGGTACAAGTTGCTCAACCAAGAAGAGGGTGAATACTACAACGTGCCCATCCCAGAAGGGGATGAAGAAGGCAACGTGGAGCTCAGGCAGAAGTTCGAGGTGAGGATTCCCGTGAAGCCCCGTGGGTAGGACACCATCTTGCCTCCAGGAAACGAAGCACGTCTTCAGGGAGGGCTGGGTTCTTGTCACGCCATTGGGAAGCCCAGAGTAACTCTTATGCTAATATGTGCTTATTCAAGAACACGAATGTTACCTGTAATCGCTTTCACTTGCAAGCCATTGGCCTTCTATGTCTCGTGTCCTCTGGATACCGAAGATTTGAGATAGCCCAGAGGTGAGAGCATGGTTGATTTTCACATAAGAAAACGGTCTAGACAACACTGGAACACAGCAAGGTTTCGAGTGGACTCTCTCAAAGAGAAGGGCTGTGTGCCTCCAAGAGGGACTTCCTAGGGAACGATTTGCCTTTAATTAGCTACTGTTCTAGTATCTGGGAAACTTTTTTTTCCTATAAAAGCAAAATTGTCCTGATTTTCTTCTGTGGGATGAGCTCCAGCAGACATTCCTGTCTAGGATCCTTTTTTATTTTTTCTCCAGATTTCATTTAACCGAGGCAGCCTCCTGCTCTCATTTCTGAGTGGGTTTGTGTGTTTACCTTCTGTCTCTTTCCCCTTCCTCCCTCTGCTTCCCCTCTCCTTCTTCTCAGCCACTTCCCATCCGTCGCAGCTCACAAGAGCATTCCTCTCTAAACCCCTGCCTGAGGACCCCAGCCACCATTTCTGGTCATTTCTCTTTCTCTTGGCATTTGACCATTTGATCAGCTTAACTTATTCAGAAGCCTCCACAGTCTGCATAACTCGTAATCTTTCGCTACAGACTACATGGTGTTGCCTGGAAATCCCAGGAATTCCTAAAGCTATGTACAGAGAGAGAGACAGACAGAGAGAGATGGGGGGAGAGAGAGAGAGACAGAGAGAGACAGAGAGAGAGAGAGAAGTGATAGACAGTGAGTTTTTTACTAAAACATTGAGATCAGTGGATGCTGATGGTCCTCAGCCTTATGCTGTTGCCATAAGGAAGGTATAGGTCAGAATGGACTGAATTCCAAAGGATGTAAAACAGAAAATTGTTTAAATTATTTCATCATCAAGCTGATGATACTTGGTAAAGGTAGATGTCAGTGATAATGCTGAAGGTCAGGTTGCCAGATAGCATGGCTTCTAGAACATAAATGATTGAAATGAGTCACGGATAGTTAAATAAATGATACTTATCAGCAGGGGTCCAGGTTGGCGGGATGATAAGGAGCAGTGGGGATGGGTGAGCCAGCGAGTTTGAACCCATTTAAGGTGACAGCCAGGCTGAGAACACAGCTCAGTAGCAGAGCACTTGCCTAGCATTCTCAAAGCCTTGGGGTCTATCCCCGTTACCACAAATATAACAAAATAAAAGTGACAGCCCATGTTTCTCAGGACCATGTGGCATTGGTCAGCACACGTGGAAGCTCATCCCGCCACGTCTCCAGTTCCTCAAGAGCACCCAAAAGTCCCACCCTTTTACACGACACGTTGTGGTTTGTTTTAATGTTGGCAGTCAATTAAAACTGTGTAGGTCAAACATGCATGTATTGCTTTCAGCTCAGGCAAGAGTTACCTGGGTGAGAATCAGCCCATAGTCTTCTACTGTCAAAAGCTACAGGAGACAGGGCCGGAATAGTGGCTCAGCGGTCAAAAGTACTTGCTGTTCTTCAAGATGACCAGAGTTCGGTTCCCCACACCCATGTCAGGCAGCTCACAACCACCTGTAACTCCAGCTCCAAAGTGGCATGTTGACAGGCACACAAGCAGATAGGCACACATATCCATAAATCTTTAAATGCTACATGAGAGCAAATAAATAACGGGAAACATATGTTTAAAACTGGGAGGATGGAATTCGTATGAGCTTTAAGGAAGTCAAGTGCAAACTTGAAACAAAGTTTGCCTGGCATTGGCCCTCCCTGCGTCTACCCGTCTCATTTCCTTCACGTACTTCATTGTCTGCCTCCACCCCTACCCTAGCTAGGACACAGCACTACACCACCTTCCCAGAAAGGCCTCCTAGACACACTTCCCAATGTCACCCACCCCTGTGACAAATGGATGCCTATCTCATGCTTTGCTGACACTCATACCCCAAGTTTGTCATTCATAGTCACTGTTCAGATCCATGAGCACAGGACACATTTGAGAGAGGAACTTTGTTGAGGCTTCACAGGTGTGTCGCTTGATTCATTCTAATCTGAAGCCACCTTATGGATAGAAAAATATTGACCCACTTTGGTGCTTCCTTTTCATGGCTTTCTGGTAAGTTAACTTCCTGTTTCTCCGAGCAGGTACCAACACTCTGAGCCCCATGCCTACACACCTACATGAGTGGCATCCCAGTATCTCCTTTGCACATCTCCTGGCTTTATATCCCAGATTTTCCTCAGATGGTGTCTGCTCATTTCCTGAGCATTTTGCCAACATTACAGCAGGAGACTAGGCAGAAGCCTGTAGCTGATGGAGTCTTAAGGATGTGGGATTTCATGGCAGCTTCTTTGCTGTGTTTAAATGGAATCGGGCAGGCACACAGTCCTGAAGTAGTTCTGTTCAGGTCCATAAGTGTGAGAGTTGCCATCCTTCCCTCAGTGCCCAGCGTTGGCAAGGCATGCACTAGGGCAGAAAGAGCAGGACTCACTTAGAGCCCAGCTAGCTCAGTTGGTAGAACATGGGATTCTTAATCCCAGGGTCGTGGATTCATGCCCCATGTTGGGTGCCAAAATGTAAATGGAGTTCTTAATTGGTTTAAGTAATCAAAACCCTGAGTCAGATACAGAGAAAAATGCTGAGAGATCAGAAAGAAGGAGCAAGTCACCACCGCACCTTACCGCCTTAGCATCCCAGCAGACAAGAGAGTGATTTCCTGTTTCTCCTTGCTTATGTCCTGTTTCTGCCCAGTCATCTCATTTCCTGTCTGTCTGTACAGACCTCCAGACCTCTATACTTAGCCAGTGGCAAGTTCCATTCTCTGACCCTCAGACAGGCTTTATTTGTACAAGCAAGATATCATCACAGTGGGGTGGTCAGCCTTTCCAGACAACATATAAGTTAGCATCAGGATAGAATTTGGGAGCTTCTTTTAGCCCCTGCCACATTATTTCCCCTTCTCCCACTTCTAGACCCATTGCTGACAGCACCCCTCAGTACTCCTCAGCTCACTTGAGCTGCCAGCAACCTGTCCTTCTCCCACACATTCTTTCCACTTTGGTACCTTTGGGCTGCAGATGAGTTCATTGCTGAGTTGTTGTTGGCTGAGGCCCAACACAATTGTTTCCTTTCAGAAACCTGCATATCTCAGGGGCTTCTCCCAGTATCTAGTGCAATGGGCACCCAACCTTTTAACACGACACTTGAATCTACAATACCTGTGTCTCATTCTAGCAGTATGGCCTGTCGACCAAAGCTTTGGCATGCTTGTTTGTTAGTTATTCTGTCCGTGTTTGGATTTTTGGGGGGGGGGAGTCTGTTTATATAACTCATATTGCTCTTAAGTTCAAACTGTGCCTCCCACCTCCTGCCTCTGCCTCCCCAGTGCTGGGATTGGAGCCGTGCCCCATCATGCCCAGGCTTCTGTGTCCTAGAAGGAATTGGCAAGCTGTGGTTTCCCAGCCTTCCCTAAGACATCAAAAGTCACTCGTTCTAATAAAAGAAAACATCGAAATAAGTGAGCACTGACAGCTCTACCCGCCATGTTACGATTCATCAGATAATTAGATGGATTTTTTTCATTTAAATTGTTGATTCTAGGATCTTGGCAAGCAGAATCCTCTGCAGGTGAAGCTGTTAGGAGCCAAGGAAAAAAATCTCAGGATGGCTGGGAAGTCGGTGCTTGCTCTTACAGGTCCTGTCAGAGCCGCACAGCTGCCCAAAAGGCAGCACAAACCAGGGCCTTGAGCACAATGTCCACAAAGTGTCTCTGTGGCCCTTTAATCTGCTCCATGCTTGTCTTCAGATAAAGCACACACAGTCCCTGCACCACAAAGTGTCTCTGTGGCCCTTTAATCTGCTCCATGCTTGTCTTCAGATAAAGCACACACAGTCCCCGCGCCACAAAGTGTCTCTGTGGCCCTTTAATCTGCTCCATGCTTGTCTTCAGATAAAGCACACACAGTCCCCGCGCCACAAAGTGTCTCTGTGGCCCTTTAATCTGCTCCATGCTTGTCTTCAGATAAAGCACACACAGTCCCTGCGCCACAAAGTGTCTCTGTGGCCCTTTAATCTGCTCCATGCTTGTCTTCAGATAAAGCACACACAGTCCCCGCGCCACAAAGTGTCTCTGTGGCCCTTTAATCTGCTCCATGCTTGTCTTCAGATAAAGCACACACAGTCCCCGCGCCACAAAGTGTCTCTGTGGCCCTTTAATCTGCTCCATGCTTGTCTTCAGATAAAGCACACACAGTCCCCGCGCCACAAAGTGTCTCTGTGGCCCTCTAATCTGCTCCATGCTTGTCTTCAGATAAAGCACACACAGTCCCTGCGCCACAAAGTGTCTCTGTGGCCCTTTAATCTGCTCCATGCTTGTCTTCAGATAAAGCACACACAGTCCCTGCGCCACAAAGTGTCTCTGTGGCCCTTTAATCTGCTCCATGCTTGTCTTCAGATAAAGCACACACAGTCCCTGCGCCACAAACTGAATTACATATCTTTTCATTTGTTCAGTAAGCGAGGCTCCAGCCGTGACCAAAACAAATAGCTCTACTTTGTGCGGAGCTTGTGTTCTCTACCTGTGGGTCCAGAGATGAAGCAGGGAGATTACTAAGAAGTAAACACAATATAACACCTGTGCTGCTTTGCAATTCCCCCAAAACCTCCTCTAGAGTCTCGGCAGAGTCAGGATTCCAGACTTTCCTCCCACGCCTGAAACGCTGCTCCTGCTATAGGCTCATGATCTGTGCTGAGAAGGGGAGGAGGTCCCAAAGATGGGTTGCCTGTGGTTCAGCAAGTCTTCCCTGTAAAGGACCAAATAATATCTGCAGGCCACAAAGTGTCCTTTGCATTGGTGAGTGCTGCATGGAGGCACCTGTTGACAATATATTATAAATGAAACTGCGTTTCAATCAGAGTTCATTTATAAAAACAAGTAGCCGACCAGATTTGCCCATAAGCCTTGGTTTACTTACCATGTTAAAATGAATGCATTTCATCCTGAAATTATGTTCTAATGGTGAATTCTCTGCCATGTTGTCCGGCTCTGTTTTGAAACAGGTAGAAAATGATACCCTTGTCACCTTTTGACATATCTTCATGGGAAAACACCCTTGTATGGGTGCAAATGGATGTCTAGAAACCATATGTCTGTTAAGATGAACTTTTGAAACACATTGTGTCTGTAAATCAGGCATGTTTAAGTCTGAGAGTATGTCAGATGACCCCTGAATAGAAGGGGCTATCTATGGCTATTAGGAAAGGAGATGAGCTCCCACACTGAATGGGATCTCAACTCAGTGGTCTGTAGAAGGAGACTTTCTTCATCTATATTGGGTTCTCTCTGCCCACCAGGTCCTCACAGCTGCTTAATGAAATAACCACTCTGAGGCTTAAAATCTATTACAATCATTTGGCCAATGGCTTAGGTTTCTTATTGGCTAGCTCTCTTTTAATTATTAACCCATTTCTATTATTCTGTGTATCACTGTGGCTTATGACCTGGTGTCTTGACTCCCCAGCAGATATATGGTGTCTCCTCAGTCTTTATTACCTTCTCTCTATCCCTGTTTGGATTTCCTACCTGGGTTAACTCTGTTAAGCCATTGTCGGAAACAGCTTTACTCGTCAACCAATAAGAGAAACATATAGTCACAGCATACAGAAGGACATCCCCCATCAATGGTCTGATATAGAGTCCTGAGTAAATACTCAAAAGTAAGTTTATCTGACAGTTGATTGATATAAACCACCCAAAGCATAAACAAGAGTGGAACCATAGTCATGGCAGCTTCTACCAGGGCATTAGAGAAATAACTAGGTGTAACACATATCATGTTGATTTACCACTGATTCCACTCCTGTGAAAGTCAGTGCTTTTGGTGAAAAGATCGTTTTGATCTTTTACAAAAGTCAACCATACAAATTGTTCACATCCTGAACTGTACCTGCAAGCTTCATTCAGCTTTCCATCTGAGAAGGAAAGAAACAGATATCTTCAGGCCACAGTTTTCTTTTTTGTTGTTTATGGTTGTTTATTTGGTTGGTTGTTTGGTTGGTTGGTTGGTAGTTTTCCCTATACAGGGTCTCCTATAGCCTATTTGACCTCAAACTCACTATGTAGCTGAGGGTGAACACCTGATTCTCCTCCTCTGCCTTCAAGTACTGTATGTAACCTAGACCACTGTTTGGCTAGGCTGACTGAGCAGTGAGCCCACGGGATCCCTGTCTTTACTCCTCTTCCAGTTCTGGGTGTACAGGTGAGCGTCACCATACCTGGCCTTTGGATGAGTGCTGAAGATCCAAACTCAGGTCATCATGCTTGTATCATAATCAGCACTTTACCAGCCCAATCTTGGATAAATTCCTTAATCTCTGACCTCTGTTTTTCTTGTTTATGAATGGGAAATTACGGTACCTGCGACATGGGAATGCGTACGGATTAAATCGTGTGGCTGTGTAAGTTTAGACAAATACCTAGGACACAGTGAGAGCTCAATGCATGTAAGCCAGGCCTCTACCTCTTTACCTTTATGATAGTTGATTGTGTGAGGTAGACATTGCTTACTGTACTTAGTAGAAGCAAATGCTGGCACTGCATTTTTTTATGTGCCGCTGAGGTGCAGTGATATTACTAGCATTCTTAGAATTCTATTTAGAGCCTCAGAAATTCCTGTCAAGGTGTCATTATTGAAAACAGACCAGTGAGTTGGTATCCTACATTCACAGCTTCACAGACTCCAGTGCTCCTGTCTCAGTCATGTTTGTAGCAAATTGGTTGTAAAGATTGCTGGATCCCATAGCTCTGCAAGGTGTTCCTTCTTTCTCCTTGATGCCGGTACTCAGGAGACTGCTGAGGGGCACTTGAATGGGAGTGCTCTCTGGATTACAAACAGTGTCCCTTCTGAGGGACCTGCCTTCTAATGCTAATGCCACCATGGCCTGTATCCTACCATGAGCATCTGGGCTCTGTCACAGAGCGTCAAGCCAACCCCCTCATGGTAAATCTGATTTCCCCAGCCTTAGACCACATTCATCCTTTGTAACTTACTTGACATCCCAGCCTCTCCTTTCAGATGGTCACAGAGGACCAGGGGTTCTTCTCTCCATTGGGATCATGTGAGACCTTGGAATATTTAAAATATATACCATCTTAAGGTGAGCATGATAACATATGCCTATTATTGCAACACATGGGAGACAGAGAAAGAGAATCAGGAGTTCAGGACCATCCTATGCTACATAGACGTTCAAAACCAGCCTGGGCTACATGAGACTATCTCAGAACAAAACTAAGCCATGTGTAGTCTGGCCTGAAATAAGCAATTAATATAAAATACACAAGCTTTCAAAGACATAGTAACATGAAAAAATGTAAAATATTTCAATAACAACTTCATGGTCAATGTATACTGAAGTAATATACTGGATATATTGGCTAAAGGTTACATTGTCAAAGATTATAATTATCATAGATATTTCATATTGTATCTACATATGAACATAAGACATAATTTCAAAATTAATTTCAACTATTTCTTAGGTTGTTAATGAATTTTCTAGAAAATTTAAAAAGAACATGTGTATATCTGTGTATCTATTTCTATTGTACATGGCAGATCTAGAACATTCCTCTTGATTAATAAAAATAATATGCTGTGGGCTAGCAAAGTAGCTAACTCAGCTGGTAAAGGCACTTGTTTTTTTTTATAATTCCATTTTTTATAATTTATTTTTAAATTTAAATTAGAAACAAGGTTGCTTCACAAGTCAGTTCCAGGTCCCTCCCGTGCCCTCTCTCCAACCCCCCCCAATATCCCTTCATTTCTCCAGGGAGGGTGAGGCCCTCCATGGAGATGTCCATAGTCTGTCATTTCATCCAGGGCAGGGCCTAGACCCTCCCCCAAGAGTTCAGGGTGAGAGTGCATCTCACATTGTTGGATGGGAGTCCAAAGTCCATTTGTATACCCGGGATAAATACTGATCTACTGCCCAAGGCCTAGATTACCTAGGCCTCCTCACTGACACCCCCATTCAGGGGGGTCTTGATCAGTCCCATGCTGGATTTAAGAGCTAACCCTTGTCAGGTCAGCTGTTTCTGGAGATTAAACCAGCCCAGTCTTAATCCCTTTGGTCATCAGTCCTCCCTCTCTGTTACTGGCTTTCTTAAGTTCAGCTCAGTGCTTAGCCGTGGGAGTCTGCCTCTTCTTCCATCAGCCACTGAATGAAGGTTCTGTTTCCCAGACTCTCTGGCCATGGGATTGTAGGCTGGCACTCCCCAGATCTATGTCTAAAATCCATATATGAGAGAGTACATGCCATGTTTCTCTTTTTGTGACTACGTTACCTCACTCAGGATGGTTTCTTCTAGTGTCATCCATTTGCCTGCAAATCTCAGGATTCCATTGTTTTTTTCTGCTGAATAGTACTCTGTTGTATAAATGTACCACATTTTCTCTATCCACTCTTCATTTGAGGGGCATCTATTGCTTCCAAGTTCTGGCTATTACAAATAATGCTTCTATGAACATAGTGGAACAGACATCCTTGTTGTATGAATGGGCATTTTTTAGATATATGTCTAAGAGTGGAGTTGCTGGGTCTTGTGGTAGGTTTATTCCCATTTTTCTGAGGAATCTCCATATTGATTTCCAAAGTGGCTGAACAAGTTGGCACTCCCACCAGCAATGGAGGAGTGTTCCCCTTTTTACCACATACTCTACAGCATAAAATGTTGTTGGTGTTTTTGATTTTAGCCTTTCTGACAGGAATGAGATGGTGTCTCAGAGCTGTTTTGATTTGCATTTCCCGGATGGCTAAGGATGTTGAGCACTTTCCAAGAAGGCACTTACTTGTAACGAGCATTCTTCCAGCCAGCCCGGTCCCAGACCGTGTCAGTCCCAAATGAACATGCAGGACACTATATTAATTATGAAACTGTTGGCCTATGGATTCTTGTTGGCTGGCTCTAACTTAATTATTAACCCATAACTGCTAATCAGAGTATTTCCACGGGGTCTTCTCTTACTGGAGAAAGGGTCCAGACCTCTTACTCCTCTCGTGTCCTACATGGTGACTGACTGTGCCTCTATTTCCCAGAATCTTCCATCTCTCTTAGTCCCACCTATCTTGCTTCCCTATCGGCCAAAAGTGCTTTAATCATCAACCAATAAGACAAACATATACACAAAAGACCATTCCCCATCACTTACTAGCAAGTTTGATGACCTGAGTTCAATCCCTGGAAGGAGGGAACCAACTCCTGTAGGTTGTTTTCTGACCTCCACACTTACTTAGGCCATGGCACACTGGTACAGGTGTACTCGTGCCACAGCCCACATGTGAAGGTCAGAGGGCAACCTTCAAGTGCACCCTCACCTTTCTCCCTTAGCTGAAGCAGGGTCTCCTGGCAGCTTCACAAGCCTGGCTGGACGGCTGGCTGGGAGTTCCTGGAGGTTTCTGTCTCCACCTTCCATCTCCGAGTAGCTGTGCCCTGGAATTGCTAACACCGTGCTGTGGCCTCCCATCTGTATGTGTGTTCTGGGTCATCAGGCTTTGCTCAGCAAGTGCTTTTGCCCATTCAGTCCGCCCCTCCCCTCCCAGTACCAGCCCCTGAAGGAAAATAGTCTCACTTCACTAACGCTACCCCTCTCCCAAGACAGTGCAGGATCAATCCAAGGGAAGCCCCACTAGGAAAACATGTCATGTGTGAGTGCCCATCTCCCATACTGGATGCTGTCCGAGAAGGTCGCTGCTTCTCCCCTACACCTGGATTACTGGTATCAGCAGGGGCAAAGAGGGTGAGAGCAAGGAACTGAACCTTACTGTCCTGGGATCTGCATGTTGGTGTCCACCCGCCAGCCCCCAACTGGTTCACATGTACCCTAGACACATGCAGAAAAGCATGATGTGTGTTTCTGGTTACTGTTCAGAACCACAGAAGCAAGGGTCTAAACCAAAAGAAGTCCAAATATGTTTGAAGGTTGTGGGGGCTTGTCTTTGGGGGAGGGGTAATAATGAAGGAGCCTCCTGGGGCTCGTCATGAAGGTGCAGAAGGTCAACCTGGGAACGCTGCCAATTTTCTGTTTTCCTTTATCCTGGGAAACAATTTAAGACTCTCTTTTACTAATGAGCAAATTAATAGACTCCAATCACTGCCATCGTCAAAGTACTTAAATCAATGAAGATAAGATTCTGTGGATAGATTGCACAAGAGGAAGCAGATGTTTTTCTCTTTTATTTACTATTGTCAAAATTGGATTTTTCTGGAAGCCTCCATTGTCTTTGAAGACTTTATCTAATTTGCAATGTTCTTTTCCAGATGGGGGGAAAAAGCGGCTCATTGGAAACCCTCAGATAAAGCACAGCTATTAGTTGATTTGATCAGCCCTGCTACAGTTACTATAGAAACCTGAACCCTTTCAGATGCCCTTAAGCCACAAAACAGAAATTTGATGTGACCCCAGTGTGGATGCTACTTCTTTGGCCCCTAAATAGCTACTTAATTGCTTTATGAACTGAATGATTTTAAGGGGGTTAAAAAAATAAATCTATTAAAAGGGCACCAGTTAAGAGATATTTTAATGTTTGTACTTCAGCTTGGTTTTAAAAGCAAAATCTTAGGTCAAAATAGGATGTGAGGTGAAAATCATTTTCATACGTTTGTTACATCATTTGTCAATAGCTCTTAGCACTGAGAAAACCCAGAGAAAGTCTCTGATGTCACAGCTGAGGCTTGTGATCAGTGTGGAAGGAAAGACAAAGATTGGTGTCCTCCTACTGGCCATGTGTTCTCAGTTTAATTTAATTTGGAGACACAATACATACTTTTGTTGGGAAACAAAAAGAAATAAAGATTGCCCATTCTAGCTTTTTGTACCATCCTAACGAATCCCTAAACTAGTATGAGATGCCTTGTGTCATAGGCATGACTTTGTGGGTGGCTGTTGCTGGGTGAGGAATCGGGCGAGCATAATGCTGGAAGCAGCTCTCCCTGTGTACCCAAGGGAGGTAAGGGTGTGAGTGAGGACCAGGGGATGTGCCCCTCCATTTACAGGAACTGGAAGAAGGGAGGGAGGGGCAGTGCCCCTTGGCACAAATGTAAACATGGAGGAAAAATACGTTGACATAGTTCTGTGCGGCTCTATTTCGGGTACTTGAGCAGAATTAAGGTGACAAAAGCCCTATGATAGAAAAGCCTAAGTGGTTCTGGGAAGACTGGCTAGTTGGTAGAGTGCTTACCAACAAGATGACCTACCGCCCACATAAAAAGCCTGGCATGGGGCAGGGTAAGAGTGGTAAAGCATGCCATTGCCTGGTGCTGGCTGGACAATCAGTCTAGCCAAATCATTAATTCCAGGTTCAGTGAGTTCAGTGAGAGACCCTGTCCCCCCAAATAAGGTGGAGAGCAACTGGGGAAGACACCTGACATCAGTCTTTGGTCTCCATATGCACACAAATGCATCTGGGCATGTGCACATACGAACACACATACACACACACACACACACACACACACACACACACACACACACCGGTGCGCAATCCCAGCCAGGTACAGTGACATAGACCTGGAGTGTGAGTTACTGTGAGGGTGAGGTAAGGATTTCAAGGCTACCCCAGTAGACTTGGTGGTGGAGACGTAACCGATCACCCTGCTTTTACTGAGTCGATCGGCATTTTTATCAGATTCCCTGGTACTTATTACATCTTCAGATGGGCTGACTGAGAAGACAAAACCCATTGACTAATGGGTGAGCAGATTCATCGTCTACAGCTGCAGTGAAGGGGAATTAATGGTTCAATAGGGACCTGTACCAAACCACCTGCCTTTGTGTGACCTGTGAATTAAGAATAATTGTTTTGAAATGTCTTTTTACCCCCAAATCAAAGAACTGTAATGTTGTGAGACATGAAAATTAGGTGAAAATTGAATTTCCGTGTCCCTAAATAGAGTTTTCCTATCATGGGCCACATCCATTCCCGTAAGCATTTTGCCTGAGGCTGCTTTGGTGCTTCCAGGAAAGGTGGAGTCACTACCAGGAGTGTGTGGCCCAAAAATCCTGAAAGCATGAAGCCTCTGGTCCTCTACTAAAGTTCCTAGATTCAAGGGTTAGAAAAATTTGGAATGTGAGACCTGGGAAAGTTTTTTTTAAATCATCTTTGTTGATGGGAAGCAGCAGCCCAGAAGGGACACACTTGCATAGTCAGCTGTGTAACGATGAGATGTCCTTCTGTATATATGTTTCTCTTATTGGTTGATAAATAAAACACTGGCCAATAGAGGCAGGAAGATGGGAGGGACTAGGAGACAAGGAGAATGCTGGGAAAGGTAGCCAGGGAGAGACCTCAAAAGCATGCCATATAGCTGCCAAAGGAGAAACAGGTTCAGTCATTCTCCAGTAAGCCAAGACAATGTAGAAATAGATGTATCTACAGAAATGGGTTAATAATTAAGAAAATTAGACAATAAGAAGCCCTAGCCATTGGCCAACAGTTTAATAATATGTCTTAGTGTGCTTATTTGTGGCTGAAGGGCTATGGGACCTGTCAGGTCAAAAAACTCCAGAAACAGTGTAAGGACTCCATTCTCCTGTCTGAAACGGTTCCTATTCCCTGCCTCTTCCTCTGCTCTTGCCTGCAGCACCCACTTTTCTAAGCATGTGCATGTACACACACACACACACACACACACACACACACAGTGTTTATCTATGCATCTTGGTACTGTGGTACTGGCTTATTTTCCCTTCTCCCCCACTTTCCTAAGTACCAAGCACATTAAATCTATGTAAACTTTGGCATAATTCTCAGGCTTCCTAAAATTGATTCCATTGTCCATTGTAACAAGCTAAAGGTGGCTTCTTTGCTAGACACACCTATCTCTGGAGGTAGTTGGAGGCCTTCAGCAGAAAGCCATTCTGGAGTCAAAAGGCATCCCACCCTTTACATGCCCAAAGCCCTGTAGCAGTTGGGTAAAACCCACATGGGTCATGAATCTGATTGCCTCTTTCCCACACTTTTTGTGATTCCAGAAATCAGGGGTTCTGGTAATTTCTTACTGGTTCCATACATCCGCCCTGCAGGCACCTCCCTGGAGATAGAGTGTGGAGCAATGGGCGATGCATCTTTACTACCTCTGTTCACTCTCTGAGACCCCAGAGTCTCAATGGTGCAAAACACTCTTCTCCCATGTCCCCCTAGGTGAGCAGGGCTCTGGTTCAGTCTACAAATCCTCTTTGGTTGCCAGTGACTCCAGCTCCTGACACTGATCTAGCCTCACACCTGGAAAAAAACGTTGCCACTTTGGTGATATGGTGTGGTATCAGAAGGGCTTAGGACAAGAGGGGCCTCAAGAACCAAACTGGGAGTCTGGAGATACTGCTCAGTGGTTCAAGTGTCTGTGGTTCTATCAGAAGGCCTGAGTTCAGTGCCAGCAGCTGTGTCAGGTGACTCATGTCTGTAACTCCCCTGGAGTCACTGGTGTTCATACATACATGTCCACACAGAGCTACACACATGTGCACGTGATTCAGAATAACAAAAATAGATCTTTAAACCACGTGTGGTGGTACACACCTTTAATCCCAGCACTCAGGAAGAAGCAGGCAGCTCTCTATGAGTTCAAGGCTAGCCTGTCATACATAATTAGTTACAGTCTGACCAGGGGAAGGAACACTATTTTTAAGAATTCAAAATGGCACTTCCCAAAATGAGATTCAGGAGCCTGTGCTTGGGACGGTCATGAGTATCTGGGAACCTTTGCACATTCCAATGTATAGAGTCTCCTATTCTTTGAGGACCATTGCTGTGATATATACATACATATATATATATATATATATATATATATGTCTGCATATATAAGTGGTGACAGTTCACAAACTCCATAGGTCAAAAGAGTGCCAGACCACAGAAACCTGGTGCATTCGATGGCTCCCTTGGGCTTAGCTGTAAACCCATTTGAGTCTAAGGGTAATTTTCCAGTGACTTGTGAAAGACTCTGGGGTTGTGCAGCACTTGTCTCCCCTGGTGTCTTCCTGGGGTGACCTATCACAGATGGAAGTGGAGGTAGGAATTTCCTAAAGCTAGTAGGTGCATCTTGGCTCATCCCTAGAGGTACTAAAACAAAGGTGGCCAATGACCCTCTCAAAATGCTTTCAATTTCAAAATTCCAACGGATGTTTTAGTTCCAACTTTAATAGTGTTGTAGATTAAGATCTCTAGCCAGAAAACAAAGCTTTGGCAGTTAGAATAAAATAACCTATTTCGGGAACAGTTACAGATTTGTGAATACTGACCTAAAGACTCATAATTATAAGATGTAAGAGAAGAAAATGTGTTTATATTTGGTAAAATATTTGAACAGCTTCCCGTTTTAATAGACAAAGCCTTACCACTCTAATGTCTCATCCGTTTGCCCAGCAGTTCTCAATACATGGGTTGTGCCCCCTTTGGGACTGAATGACCCTTTCACAGGGGCCACCTAAGACCATCAGAAAACACAAGTATTTACATTATGATTCATAACAGCAGTAAAATTACAGTAGTGAGGTAGCAATGAAAACAGTTTATGGTTGGGGATCCCTACAACATGATGAACTGTGTCAAAGGGGGGTAGCATTAGGAAGGTTGAGAGCCACTGCATCCGCCCCTCATTGTCCCTATTCAGACTCAGGGATGCTATGACCCATTTGGACTGTGGGATTTGGGTTGTGAGAACCAGACTCTCTGGCATCCTCTCTCTGAAAGCTACCTCACACCAGATGGACCTCTGTGGCTGCTCTTGTCACTCGCCACATGAATTTCTCTCTTAAGAGGGTATTGGTTCATTTTCACCAATGTTAGAGCTTGAGGAAGTGAAGCTTTTAGTCACAAGTGTTTTCTAGACAACAGTGGAGAGCTGAAGGACGCAGAACCTGGTGATGTGGCCTTCAGTTAACCGGGAAGGGCTAATCCATGTCTCCCAGCTTGTTTTACTGGGGAAATCTCAGGCACCTTGAGTTACTGAAGAACCTCTTAATCCTCAAGAAAGAAGATTTTTATTAGGAGCATGTGCATTTTCTGGGGCTGTCCCTTGTTGGTAGAGTGCATGAGGCACCTGGGTTTGATCCGCAGCATGACAGAACATAAACCAGGCATGGAGGCACACACCTGTAATCCTAGCACTCAGGAGATAGAGACACAAATATCAGAAGTTCAAGGCCACACCGAACTGCATGAACCTTTGGGGGTGGAGAGCCACATGTGGGGGGAGAGGCTAACTTGAACTGGGAAAAGAGACACATCCACAGGTGCAACTGTTTGCCGCAAGACTGTGTTGTTGCCCAGAAATACCCCGAGGAGGGAGAGAGAACGTGCCTGGCCACATGTGGCTTGGTTCCAGGCTTTTCACTCTTCTAAGAATGAGGTAGCTCAGTACCCTCCAAGGACTGCTACTACCTACCGAGGCAGCCCCCAGCAACGGATCCGCCCTCCTGCCTGTCCCTACCGGACTCCTGAGTCATCAGGTGACTGCCACCCTCTGTGCTGTGTGTTCTAATGAGAGCTCCTCTGGCTGGCTGGCCCCAGCGTTTGTCTCCTGGTGCTGTATCCAGAGAGTGAGGGTGACAGCCATTCTGAGCATCCTTTTGAGAGCTCTGCTTCCTCTGCCTCCACTGTCTGTTAAAAGCCCATTTTATGATGCTGAGAGGCAGCTTGGGTGGCCCCGCTGGAATACACTGAGCTACCAGGAAAGTCCTTCCCATGGAGTAGCCCCTTCTGTTTTCTCAAGAGTAAGCAGTTGCCCCTGGCTATCCAGAGTGTGAAGACAGTTCCTGTTTACAAACACTCCCAGATGGATGAAATGAGTGGATGCTTGGGTCCTCCAATCCTAAGTGCTTTGTGTGATGTGGCATGCCTAAACAATGTATCTTTGTCCCTGTTTCTATGTCAGAAACCATCCTTCTGGGAAGAAGTAATATGCATGTTCTAAGTCTACTATATTCCTAGCGTAGAAAAGCCAGACACGGGTACAGAGCAGACACAGCTGACAATAGAGGGCTGAGGCTGGAGAGGTGACTCGGCAGGTCCCAACCTGTAAAGCTCTTGCAGAAGACTTGGGTTCAGCTCCCAGCTCACTAACCACCCCTAACTCCAGTTCCATGGGATCCAGCGCCCTCTTTTGACCTCCACAGGCACCTGAATGCCCACCGTGCACATACATGCAGGCACACACACATCCACATAAACATTTTTAAAAATAGAAAGGGGGGAAAGGAGCTGGGGCAAAGCCATCACCTCTCTAGATACCCCTCCCAGCAGGGAAACGGATTACTCTTCCCAGCTCTGGTGAACAACTGCCCCCTCTGCTGGTTGGCCACTCACTCACCTACCTTGGTATTCAAGGAGGCAGCAGGGTGCAGTGGCAGGGAGTGTCACATTCCTGAGCTCAAGCCCAGCTTCGGCATCGCCTGGCTGTGTGGCCTCGGCACTCCGTCACTTGGCTGGCTTTGGCTTGTCTCCCCCCTTCTGTCTCTCCAAGTCAAATATGGAAGAGAGAAAACCTTTGCAAGACTGCTTGGACAGTTAAGCGAGTAACTACAAAGGGTGCTTAGAACAAGACCTCACTGTTATTCCTGTTATCCCCTGCACCTCCACCCCAGGAGGTAGCAATCAAGAGGCTGCCTGCAATGCTGTTTTCCTCAGTAGCCATCCCCAAGTACACCCAAAAGCTGTGCTCTTCCACTTGGGTCTGAAGCCCCCATTTGTGCATTGGAGACTGTATTGGTTATTTTTCTCACTGCTGTGGCAAATGCCAGAAAAGAAGCGAGCTAAGGGGGGGACAGGTTTATTGAGGGACCGTAGTGGAGGAGGCTTGGTGGCAACAGGGTGAGGAAACTGGACGTGATCGAGGCCCGTCCTCACTGACCCATGTCCTCCAGGAAGGCTCCCTACTAAATGTTCCAAAACATCCCCAAGCAGGGCCACCAGTGGGGACCAAGTGTTCAAACACATGAGCCTACAGGGGGAACTTCACATCCAAACCACAGAAAATGTAAACAACAGGAGGACCCTGCCTCCCCTCACTTCCCCCACCTGGCACAGAGAAGCCCGGTGACTGAGTTCCCTGTGTGTCACACATCACCACAGCGCCTCCTCCTGGGGAGTTTGGTGTTTGCTCTCATTTTGTATGTTTCTTGTGCTCTTTTATGATGAGCCCTAGGTGAAGAAACCTATCCTGTTCGCCTGAGATAGGAAACCCTACCCATGCTGGGGCAATGCACCCCAACCCTGAAGCAGAACTGGAGGGCAGTCACCCCCTCACGCCTCAGAGTGGCTTTGCTCTCGCTTGACCGCAAACTAACCTTCATCTTGTGGGACCCTGTGAAAAATTTGTCCTCAGCCAATGCGTGGTAACCCCCAGAGACTGTGTGTATTTCTCAGCTGACAGGCTACAGAAATAAGCAGGACCTTTGGCCTCAGCAAGGGCCATCGGTGAGTGGCCACATTCATAGAACTGATGGCTTAGGGTGGAGGAGCGTGCCACCATGGTCTCACTTTTTATCAGAGGTCATCTTTCTGTACCCCACACTGCTCCAGGCCCCAGAAACCTGTGAGTACCCATGTGGGTCACAGTAACATACTGATTGATAATCCATTGGCTCTTTCTAGCAATTATCACAGAGTCCCCATTCACTTTCAAGGCCTGTGGGTTATACCTGAAGGATCCCAGGACATCTAGCCTGGATTTTAAAACAATGTGTGCTTTTCAAGGATCTGGGGGCCTTCTACCTGAACATCTTTACTCTCTTGTTTGAGGCTCTCCATTCCTGAAGCTACTTGCTCGTCTGCTACCTCCTCCCTGCTGCAACCTGCAGCAAAGTCTACACCTCAATTTTCCATAGCCTCCCAGGAGCCCAGACCCTGGGGCACCATGTAAAAAAGTGACCCCCAGCAGCCTCTTACGCCAGACTGATACCCACCCCCCATACACAGACACAGAAATAGGTAGGATTTATACCCCAATCTTGCATTGAGACTCCTCCTCCAGAACCCCCATCTCCAGAACTCTGGGGACCTCTTAGCTCTCTGAGTCTACCTCTTTAGGGAGTCTCCCTAATGAGGCCTCGTCTGTTCCTCACTACCCGTCCTGAACCTCTTCTGATACTGCCTGCCAGCTGGAATTGCTGTGGCTGGTTATTATCGAAGCAGCTCCCAGCATTGAGCCAGTAGAAATGGAAGATTCCCATCCATCTACTATGAGGTAGCATTTCAGTCCATTTTACAGAAAACAAAACTGAGCCCCAGAGAAATTACCCTAAGTGTCATTCCATTCCAGTCTGTGGCCACTCGTGAATATCCTCAGCTTCCCTGCGAGCTGATGGCCATGGAACCCAGAGGGGAACACAGAACAGTACAGCTGCAGCTGGTCCTAGGTGCTCCACAGAGCTATGGTGAGATGCCTGGGTTTAAAAACACAACCATGAACATGAACTTTATGAAGATTCTGTTCTAGATGTAATAGCAGATGGTTTTTCTTTCAAAATGCTTGCTCCTGTTAATTAGAGACATTTTAGAGAAGGTTTGCTGTGGATCCAGCATTCAGAGACAGACTCCTAAAAGCCTCTGTGTGGAAACACAGGTTTGAGCCCCTTTGGGGCAGGGTATGGTACAGTGCACTTTTCATCAGCCACGAAGGAAGGCAAGCTTCAGGCCCAGCCCTGGCTTGTGTAGGTTGGGTATTTGTTTGACTTTGGGAGCTGGCTTCTCACGGGCATTCAAATTCTAGCTGAGCATCCCCAGTAGTGGCTTTGTCATTTGAATTCTGCCCTCCTCATGTGATAACAACCATCGTTTCCCATCGTCTTGAAGATTGTTGTCTGCCTCTCTCTAAAGTAGACGCTGTGGCTCTCAGCCCACTCCAGGTCCCCTGGAGACCCCACTGACTCCCCCTCTCTTCCGATCCATTCGTGGTCCTGTTGCCTGCAGAGTCCAAGTGCAGCAAGGGTTATAGAATATTCACAACAAAATAATCTATAATTGTTTGGGGTTTGCAGTTTTCTATAAGTTAAGGTACCTTGTGATTGTAAAACTCCCTCTGGCATTTTACCATCAGTGGCATTGGCGAACACTTGCTTTTTTTTTTTCTTCATATTAATGTTCCAGGTTATTTCTGCAAAGGTCCATCTGGGAAGATGGACCAGGTGCCTTCTTTGTGCTGCCTTGCAGGATTCACTGGAACTCCACTGCCACAGGCTACCCCATGAACCTGGGGCAAATATCTGCAAAAGATCCTCATCAGGGTGCAATTACTCCAGGAGCCAAATACCACAAGAGGGCAGTAAAGACTTGCAAAAGAAAGACTCCTGCCTCTTAATGAATACAGGCCATAGCAGAAGAAGAAACTTAACGTTCATGAACAGGCATGGCAATTAAATGTTCATCTCACACTCCCATTTGCTCCCGATTTTCGGAGACAATCACAGTGCTAAAAGAGGAACAGTCATGGGCCTTGTAGGTCCTGTAGGCTCCTTCCTCCTATCGCTTGCCCTGGGAACTCCCGCCGTTTAGAGGCACTGCTGACAGTCTGGGAAACCATTTTGCTGTGACAGCATGTGTGAATCCAGAGGCTCCTGACCCTGTAAAGCCGCAGTGGTGACAATCCCTGGCAGGAAAAGAAATGGGTTTCTGTGAAAAGAGTCTAACAACATCGTATGTCACAGCCATTCCGCCCTCACTGAGGTCCCCAAAGTGCATTGGATGAATCATGCTGTCAGCCTGGGGGAGGGGGACTGCATTTTATAGGTGCAAACACCCAGAAAAGGTAAACTTAGGAGGATCTCCAAACAGGATCATTTGGAGACCGCAGGGTCCTCCCATAGAAACTGGGGAAAGGCAGTGACCTTCCAGTTACCACTTACCAGGTGAGGCAGGTTGAGCTGCTTCCAGGCCAGCCAGCCAGCCTCCCCTGAGAAATAGGAGGCCGTTAGGTTAACTGTTGCTGGTGGGGGGAGGTGCACATGATGCTGCACCCCCCCACACACAAGAGCTCTTGGCAGTTAATAGTAACTGGTGGGTGGGGGTGGGGTTATTTACTCTCCTGTAACAAAACTCAGTTGGGTCACCTAAAATGGAAGGAAAGGGGCAGAGGGAGATAGACTTACAGTGGAAGGGGAGACTAGCCAGGAAGAGGAGGAATCAGTGGGAATGGGGAGGAAACAGGAAATGGTAATGGCGGGGTTGGGAGGCCCAAAATACCCTGTATACATGTATGAAAGAGAGATTAACCGACTTAACAGGATGACTCAAAGAACATAAGGGGAAGATGGATAGTGGTAAGGAAAATGGCATACATAATGGCTACTAGAAGCTCATAAGGCTTGGTGGAAAAATAATAAAACACCATTGTCCACACCAGGCAAGACTCTTGACAGACCCTTCGTTGTCCCAAATTCCCCCCACTCACCCACCCTTGAAGTATTGCTCAGTTACCACAACATAAAGGCCTTTTGGCTTCCTGTGACTTCCTGACTGCATTTTAACCGTGGCACCCACCTGAGTGGTTGAGCCCATAAAAACAGTTCCCGTTAAGGAAATTATGGAAATGGCTTACTCTGTATCCCTGCCCCTGTGCTTTGCTGAAACACATATCTCCTATTTTGGCGACACAGCCTTATTTGCCTGTGCCACTTAGAGCACCAAACATCACAGAAGAGACTGGGTGGTGACTTGATACAGATGCATCTGGAACTTTACATTGTAGCTGCTATCCTGATAAGTTAGCAAGGAGTCATAGACATTGTATCTAAGTACAACTGCAGGGCTGGGGATAGAGCTCTTAATGGTAGAAGGCTTGAGGCCCTGGGTTCAAGCCCCAGCACAGAAAAAAAAATCAAATCTATCAAACTGGGAAAGGCCAGCAGCAGGTGAAGATAAATGACCTGAGAATCTGCAGAACATGGGGCAGAGGTAAAACCGCACTCAGGCCATCCCAGCTACTGCCTGAGGTTTACATTCACTCATCTGAACTTCCTGCCACAGCTGCAGAGGCAGGTAATGACGTAATAGAGTATCTGACCTGCACAGCCAGAATTATTTACTGGCCTTTGCTATAGTGGGAAGAGTTTGAGCTTCAGAACCAAGGAAGGAAACAGATCTGGACGCGTCACTCAGACCCCCTTGTGTCACCAACTTCTTTTTAGAGGTTGAACTGCTCTTTCATCCTCCCGAGGTTGGTGACACCCATTCTGGAGCTGCCTAGAGTGCAGGAGAATCAGCCCCTACAGCCAGTGGATCAGTGGTCCTGTGTTGGGACCTACTCAAGAGAAAGTAGCACCCTTTTTTCCCTCCATAACGTGAACAAGCCTGTGAGGGGCTGGAGATGGAGGTGGCACTGGAGAGCATCCACAAGGTCCATACATCTCCATCTGCATGCCAGTATCTTCATCACAGGCAGGCTAGGCCTCCTCGGGGATCCTGCTAAGGCTGACAGACTGCCTGCCACCCTGGGGAGAGTGACTAGTACACACCTGCTTGCTGTTCACCTGTAACTCCAGCTTGGGGAGAAAACTCCAGTCAGCAAGTGTTGACAGTCATCCATGCCCCTGAGTCCAAGGGTATAAACAAGAACATTCAGACAGGAGGAAACGGGGTGACGACAGAGGTGGCCTGCTCTGGGGACAGCTGTTTGCTCCCTGTACAGATGAGCTATCCTTCCACGGTCATTGGCTGTCACCAACCCACACAGACCTTGAGCCTTGCAGACATGACCCATTGCTCACAGCCCTCAAGCCTGGGAGGTTAAGGGTCAGGGCAGACACAGATTTGGCATATGGTTCATAGATGGACCCTTGTCCCTGTTTCCCTAGAAAACATGAGACCCTGTCATAAGGATGCCCCCATTATGACCATGGATCCCTGGTGACTTAATCGTCTCCCCCTTCTTCCTCACACTGTCATATCAGGGGTTAGGATTTCCACTCCCCAATTTGGGGCAGATGGGTAAACATTCAGCCCATGCCACCTTCCAAACTGTGCCTTCCGGCATGTCAAATGGAGCCCACAGGCCTTGTGAGCATGCTTGAGGCTGGGGATAGCTGTGAATTCGACCTCATACAAAATCATTACCTTACTTAAAACATTCAGAGGTGTTTGCATGTGTGTGCAGGTGTGAGTAAATGTTTTTAAATCAGTTTTGAGGCTCGGGGTGAATTATTTAGAGCAGGGGTTCTCGACCTTTCTCATGCTGTGACCCTTTAGTACAGTTCCTCATGTTGTGGTGACTCCCAATCATATTATTTTTGTTGCTACTAGATGACTGTAATCTTGCTACTGTTGTGATCATAATATGAATATCTGACATGTGGGACATCTGCTTCATCCCCAGAGGGGTCACAACCCACAGGGTGAGAACAACTGCTCTAGAACATGAACTATGAGATGACATCATCTCCTGATATCAAAAGGTGGTCCCAAAGTCAGATCTGAAAGAACAATGCTAGCAGTCCTAAACAATAACATATACCGATGTCCTCAGCGAAGTCAAAGCCTGTCTTCTGTAATTCGTATGCCCTGGCTCCTTGAGCTTTCCACCTCTTCCCCCGATCTTCCCATCTGTCCCTGTACCGTTGGCTGTCCCCAGAGCAGGCCACCATCAAAATCTCTTGACCCAACGACTCTGCGTCTCCCACGGAGTCTAAGAACAAGAGAGAGAGATTCAAACTGAAAATGGTGCGTCTCCTTGCTCTAGAAACAGCGAGGAAACAGCTTAGGGACCTGACGGCAGGGAGTGAGAATCCCCTAACACTCCCTGCAAGGAAATGCAGGTTACAGTGGAATTCTGTTTCTGTTAAATATGGTGTGGAAATAGGGCCTGCAGAGATGCCTCAGCAGTTAAGAGCACTGGCTGCTCTTCCAGAGGATCCAGGTTCGATTCCCAGCACCCACACGTGGTGGCTCAGAACCATCTGTGGCTCCAGTTCCGGGGGACCTGAAACCTTCACACCAATGTCCATAAAATAAAATTTTGCATAGCATCTGTAGAATGATACCAGTGATTGTCTCTAGCTTATAAAATCATACTTATTTTTTCTTTCTTTAAAAAAAGGTATGCATCTTAAATTTTCTAAAATGAACAGATATCACTTTATTTCGAGAAGAAATAACTCTGCCTTTTAGAAAATGTTATGTGAAAAGGCATTTTATTCATCCATTCAGAGAATTTAAGAAACACCAGGCCCCCAGGCATGTCCTGAGTTCTGGAGATAAACAGAAACAGCTCAGCAGAGGACCTCAAGCCTTCTCCAGTGCAGAGAGAGGAGTGACGAGCACACAGAGAAAAGAGACCAGGAAGAGCAGGAGGGAACGCAAACCACAGGAAGCAAGGTGTCAGGGAGAGCTGGCAGGGCCAGTGAGAGATCCTGGGGGCTTAAGGCATCACTTGGAGGCTAGAAGGAAGGTGGGAATGCCTATGTGGGTCACAGGAGGCAGAAAGCACCTGGTCCTCAGGGGACAGCATGCCTGGCCTGTTCCAATAAATGACAGATGAGTTAGCCAGAGAACAACAGGCTTCTCATGTACTTCACTGTGCTGCCCGAGACCCTGTAATGCCCACTAAATGGCATCCTTTTAACCTGTTGCCTAGCAACTGAGTAGCAGGGCTAGATGTCACTGCTGTTTAGAAACACAGGCACTAACCTAGATGATAGGTCCCTCTAGCAATCCCTCCCCAAGTCCTCATGACAGGCTTCTAAAGCACTCAGTCGCTCCGAGCCAACATTGCAGCATGGGTGAATATATCACCTTAAAAGCAAAGTCCTGTGCCTTGGTTCTGTGCAGCACAGCTGCTTCTGCTAACCCTGCCCCGCTTTGTGGAGCAGTGCTAAAATGCCTTGCCAGTGTTCAGATAATGAGCCCAGGGCATTTTCATCATGAAAAGAGAAAGAAAAAAACATGTAAGAGAAATCCATAACAGTCCATGTGCTTCCATGGTTGGGCACCATTGGCCTGTCTACCCCTAGAATTTCAGAAGTAAGAAAGACCCTTCCAAAGCTCTCAAGTTCAGTGGCAGTCACTGTGTTACACTGAAAAGAGTCTTGATAAGTACATTCATCAAAGCCATGCTCGGACTAAGGCAAGGAAACACTGTTATTGAAGACACGTTCACAAAACAGGTGAGAATCCAACCATTTAAAGTAGACCCACACTTCAGTGGTTCTCCAAATAATCACCAGGGGTCTTACATTCATACCAAAATGTGGGTCTTAGGGCTTGGATAAACCAGAACTTCTTGTTAAACTTTCTAGGCAGAGAAGCATGGCATGAGAGCCAATAAGTGTTAACAGTACACTCAGCCCAACACTGGGTCTTTTGGGTCTGTTTGCCGGTTTAGCAAAGCTAGCATGCACTTAGCACACACAATGTAAGAACGGCAAGGTGTCTTGGCATTAACTTGGACCTCCACCATCACTGCTACCAAAGGTCAAATTATCCCAGCTCTTCCTCTGTAAATTGTTTAACCTGACAGAAAATGTGTGTCTCCTACCACCCCGCCCTTCGTATTCCTAATGCAAGTGATTACTGTGTTATCATTATTCTAAAGTCAGAGACCCATGTAACCCTGGCTGCCTCTGCCTCCTGTGTGCTGGAACTGACTTCAGGGTTACACTACCACACTCCACGATGCAAGTCATTTGGCATGGAGCTCACCCTGGTTATCATTTGAAAAAAAAACCTACATTAGTGCATTAGTGAGCTGAGTGTAAGGAACTTGGACCCAGGAAGGGGCTACACACACACACACACACACACACACACACACACACACACACACCTGTGACTCACTTCCAGGGCATGTGCAAGGATCTGGGTTTGCATATCATATTCATATTGTATGGCTTCCTTGCCTCCCACTCACCCTGTAGCCATTCAGGGGCTACAAAATGCCTCTGTAGTTCCAAATGAGATTCATTGTTAGTTGATGATTAGCTCATTTCCGCATGAGGGGTGGACACTGGCTGGTCTCAGAGCCTGGAAATCCAGGTGGCATCATGACGCCAGGTTTGACCAACAAATGCTCAGGTGCCATCTTTTGAAGAATTCAAATTCCCCAGGTACAATTTACTTTAGTCAAAGCCAATAGCACATGCTGTACTTTTGTCTAAGGACAAAAGAAGAAAGAGAGAGAAAGTTCTAGCGTTTAGAATTGCCTTGTTCAATTTTACAGCACCACACATCAAGGCTTTCATTTTTCCCTTTCCTGAATAATTTCTATGCTGTTTTGTTGTTTGTTTGTTTGTTTTGTTTCAATGCAGGGTCTCTCTGTGTAGCCCTGGCTGTCCTGGAACTAGCTCTATAGACCAGGCTAGCCTCTAACTCACAGAGCCCCTTCTGTCTCTGCCTCCTGGGGGCTGGGATCAAAGCTGTGCTCCTCCATGCCCAACTGTATGCTTTCCTACACCTTTGCCTTAGCCCAGTGGTTCTCAACCTTCCTAATGCTGTGACCCTCATTTTGTGGTGACCCCAACCATAACATTATTTTCATCACTCTTTCATAACTATAATTTTGCTACTATTCTGAATTGTAATGTAAATATCTGATATGCAGGATATCAAAATGCAACCCCATGAAAAGGTTGTTCGACCCCCACTGGTTGAGAACCACTGCCTTAACCGATCTTAGCCCAGCCCTGCAGGGGACTTGACGTTTAGATGTTGCAGAAATCTCGGTTTGGTCTCCTGCCATCCCCTCCCCTGAGAGGCTGTGAGGCCCATGGGACATGCACAGCTTCCAGACAGAGCACACGCATGTGCAAGGGCCCCAGAGAGTCATAGTCTGCTTTCTGTTGCTGCAACAAAATACCCAAAGCTAGCCAGTACATAAATTAAAGAGGGTTATCTCACTTCTGGTTGTGCAAGTTCCGAAGCACGAGCCAGTATCCGCCTGCCCTGGGGCGAGGACCAACATTAGGCAGAAAATGGAAGGGTTCTTCTGTGCCCTAGGCCTCCTGTCACTGCCTGTGTCAGCCCCGGCCATCTGAATCCTGTTTGCTCTCACCCCAGCAGGGCATCTGCCCATGTTGGTCCCTGTTTACATATAGTAAAGGATGTCAGCAGGTAGCAGTGGGCTCCAGCTGTATCCCTACACGCACATATATTGATTTGATTTGCACTCCTGGCGAAGGAAGTCTGTGCTACCCTCATGACAGCCAGAGTAGTGTCAACAAGATGCAAGTCAGGAAGGGCAGGTCTCTCGGTCCTGCTGTGAAGCCAGTTGCCAAGCAACCCATTCAAAACCCAGAGGGAGAAATGGTGGGCTCGGAAGAAGAACCTGTTGTTGTGGGATGGCTGTGCCTTCTAGAATGTGATCCTGGGAAGCAAAGAAAGCCACCTATTCACAGCATCTGGCCTCTGGCCAGGGACCCTCCACCCTCCTTGAAGACCCCTAAGACTGTCTCCAAACTCCCAAACTTCTCCCTACTCACACACACACACACACACTACTGACACAGCTACTAAGTATTCCTGGCTGTCTTCTCAAACTCCATAGTGTCTTATACCCCTTCTGCCTTCGAGTGGGGTTTGCCCAAAGGCAGACCCAGACCAGCCAAGTTGAAATACTTATGGTTTTTCCTGTTGCTTTAGAAAACTCAGTATCAGAGGTGGCTTGGTGTCCTCACGCAGCAAGGCCTACAGATGGCAGAATGGAGATGGCTCTAAAATGCTGTGCAGGAAAACTGGGGTGGTAGGCAGTGTCATTCCGGATAGCAGCACACATATGAAGATACCTGGGCCATTTATACCTCAGGCTAGTTTGGGCAGGGGTGAGCTCTAACTCCGCTCGATGGGCTGGGCCCCAAAGCAGCCAGCTGTCCATCTTGAGCACAGTTAGTGACACTACCTTGTCATGGTATGGACCCCATATGCTGGCCTCCCTCTGTGAGCATAGCATCTTCATCACAAACCACAGAATGGGTCACCTCAGACGGAGTTGCACTTTGTGGGGGAGACATTTTCTGAGTGATATGAGCCTCCACTGGCCATGCCCACATTCCATCTGTAACACAGCATAGAGGACTGCCTATATTGGGTTGACCTGTGACCACATCTGTGGGGGGATTGTCTCCATTGAGGTGGGAAACCTTTGATGATAAAGAAACCTACAAATACACATTTCCTCTAGAGCTAGAACCCAGCCTCGCAAAGGCATCTGTCCATAGTGAGACCCCCTGGATGCCTCTTCGCCTCCTCTGCTATCTACCCATTAACCTACTGTAGTGGCTTGAATGAGAATTCCCCCATTGGCTCTTACACTCAAATGCTTAGTCACTGGGTAGTGGTACTGTTTGAGAAGGATTAGGAGTAGGTGTGGCCTTATTGGAGGAAGTCTCAAAAGCCTGTGTCAGGCCCGGCCTCTCTCTGCCTGATGATCAGGATGTGACTCTGAGCTACTACTCCAGTACCATAAGTGCTACCGTGTTTCTGCCATGCCCCTGCCATGATGGTAATGAACTAACCCTGCTATAAACAGACTCCCGGTTAGGTGCTTACTTGTGTAAGAGGTGGCTGGGTCATGGTGTCACCTCACAGCAGTAGAACAGTGGTGAAGACACCCACTCAGAGAGGTGTTGACCACCCGCGTGAGAGCCTCGCACCTGCTACTGAGCTCAACCCCACGCTTAGGTCTGCTGCACTGAGGAAGAGGAGGTGCTCCTAACCGGCCTAATGCTGCAAGCCTTAAACACAGTCCTCATGCTGTGGTGACACCCCAGCCATAAAGGAATTTTCATTGCTACTTCATAACTATAATTTTGCTACTATTGTGAATGATAGCGTTAAGTATCTGATTTGCAGGGTATCTGATATGCGACCCCTGTCAAAGGGTCACTCAACACCCAAAGGGCTTGAGACCCACAGGTTGAGAACCACTATTCTAAAGCAATTACGCTTGCCTTTCAAACTGGGGCCGAGGCTGTGGCAGATCCACCAGCCCTAGGACACTGGCTCTCCCTCATTGTGAAGCAGACATTTGAACATGCTAAGTCTGGCAGGGGTGTGATGCTGCCCCCCGCTCTGGCTTCTCTGCCCTCACAGGGGTGTCAGTTCCCATGGCATCTCGTTTGCCTTTTCTTTGGCCAAGCCCTCTTCCTTTTTCCCCATTGACAGGGAGAGTGGGACTCTCCGTGGGAGTCCGACACCAGCGGCTCCCCCCAGGGTTGTCATGTGGTATGAGTTCTGTGTACAAAAACTCCTTTTGGTACCACAGCATCATTTAGCAGGTGTCCTCCAGGCTGATGGGAAACCAGATGCCAGGAGCTGACTATTTCCTTTCATCAATCCAACTCTTGACTTAACTAAACAAAGCCCTGTTTTTCCTGCTCTCTTGAAAGTAGCAATAAATCATCCCCAAAGCCTACCAGTTAGGCAGCTCCTCCCTGGAGAACATTTTGCCTGGGTGCAAATTTCCTTCATATGGATTAATTTTGTTACAAAATCTACAGCTAAGAAAAACATCAACTCACAGACTCATTTCCTTGATTATGTTAACAATCTCAAGTCACTATTCACCCTCAAGAAGTTAGCTTTGCTGCCAGAATTAGGATTCACCTGCCATGGGCAGGTCCTTTTGAATGAAGTCTCAGTACTTACACTGAACTGTTAGTAGGTGAAGAGTTTTCCCCTTGTAGATCTCCTTAGGGGGTGTGTACAGCCACCGACCTGATCACCCCAACCCCTGCCATCCCTTTTCTCAGCCCATCGCCCGCTCCTCACAGCTGGCATCCAGCTTGTTAACCATGTGCTGGTTTCTGTCATCTTTCCTTGGGGACAAAAAATGACCAGTGGTTTTTCATGTTTGTGCTTCTTTCAGAAAGCCAAGCTTGGCCCTGCTGGTAACAAAGTCATCAGCCCTTCAGAAGACAGGAAGCAACCATCCAACAACCTTGACAGAGTGAAACTCACAGACTTCAATTTCCTCATGGTGCTGGGCAAGGGCAGTTTCGGGAAGGTAAGAAGGGAGGAGTTTTGCATAAACGTTGCATCAGTGCTGCTCAGGGTTGGATCATATATGCACATTCCTCAGATAGTCAGGACATCATTAAAACAGCTATAGTGTTGGAGAGATGACTCGGCAATTAAGAGTACTTGCTTTCAAAAAAAAAAAAGAGTACTTGCTTTCTTTCCAAAGAACCTGTGTTTGGTCTCCAGCACCCTTCAGGCAACTCATAACCAACCCCCTGTAATTCTAGCTCTGGGACATCCAGCACCTCTGGCCTCCATGGACACCTGTGCTCACATGCACATACCCCACCACACGTATGCACACATATGCGCAGAGTTAGAAATAAAATCTTTTTAAACAGCTTTGCTGAGATTGGGGAATCACTCAGTCAATGAAGTACTTACAAGTAGATCTGAGCCCATGCGAGGTGTGCAAATAAGCACTTACAGTCCCAGCACTGGAGACGAGTGGATCCTGAGGCCCAACTAACCAGCCAACGTACTTGGCCAGTTCAAGAGCAATAAGAGACTCTACCTCAAAACAAAAAAATGGAAATAAAAAAGTGGTAGATGGTGCTTGAGGTTGTCCTCTGGCCTCTCAACCAGTATGAACATACACATGTGGTCCCTCAGTGTACTTACATGCAAGTATGTGCGTGTGCACACAAACACACACACACTGTAACCCAAAAAGCTACAGAAAGTTCATGGTGTCCCCATCTCCCAGTGTTCAGACTAAAAGGCATGCTCCAAAATGCTAGTAGAATGATTAATTTTCACAACTGAAAATCGAACGTGAACTTGCCCTAAGCCTGGGTGATCACCATATTGAGGCCCTACAATGGGGCCGTGTGGACTTTAGTCTGTGCTTCGCTTGGCCTCTGTGGCCCTAAACCTTGTGACATACCCATGAACTAATAGTGAGCCTGCCTTTTTCTTTGTGTTCTTGGTCTTCAAGGTTGCAAAGGTTACATTCTACTCTCAGAATGTTTCCAGAAAACATGAATATGGATAATTCCAGACTAATCACATTAAAGAATATTAAATATTCCCATTATCAGGCAAAACAGCAACTTTGTATATTAATATCCTACACCGTCTGCAAACTTGGATACTTTTAAAAAAGGAATATGAATGCTGAAGGAATTTTAACTTGTTGGATCTTGCAGTATTTGAAAATCCAAATATAAAGTTTATGTTAGCCAGCTTTCTGTAACTATATTGAATTACCCAAGGCCATTTATTTATCCAGAGAAAAGGTTTGTTTTGGCTCATGGTTTCAGTTCATGATTGCTCCTATTATTTTTAACCTTTTGCAAGATAGTACATCATGGCAGGAATGTATGCTGGAACAAACTGCATCATCATTTAATCAACCAGAGAACAAAATAAGAACAGAAGATGACCCTGGTCCCTCAGCACCCTTCAAGGACATTGCATACCCCCCAATGACCTAAGGACCTGTGATAGTTACCTTTCATTGTCAATTGAATATATCCTAGAATCTCTTGGAAATGGAGTCTCAATGAAGCATTGTCTACATTGGTTTGGACTATGGGAACGTGCATGGGGGATTGTCATACTTAGTGGATATGGAGACATCAAGCTCACTGTAAGAAGCACCATTCCCTAGGCAGGGTGTGCCTAACTGCTCAAGAGTGAGCTGAGCACAAGCATGGGAGCAAGAGAGCATGTATATATTCATGTCTCTGCTCTTGACCGTGGCTGTCATGTGACTAGCTGTTTCACATTCCTGCCTTGACTTCTCCACAATGTTGGCCTATAAACTTGGAATTGTGCTGAGCTGAACTCAAGAAAGCCAGTAACAGAGTGGGAGGACTGATGACCAAAGGGATTAAGACTGGGCTGATTTAACCCCCAGAAACAGCTGACCTGACAAAGGTTAACTCTTGAATCCCAGGTATCAGCCTGGGAATCCAGCATGGAACTGATCAAGACCCCCTGACTGGGGGTGTCAGTGAGGAGGCCTAGGTAATCTATTGAGCCTTGGGCAGCAGATCAGTACCCATCACGAGTATACACACGGACTTTGGACTCCCATCCAACAATGTGAGGTGCACTCTCACCCTGAACTCTTGGGGAAGGGTCTAGGCCCTGCCCTATATGAAATGAGGACACCCCCATGGAGGGCCTCACCCTCCCTGTGGAAATTAGGGGATAATGGGGGGCTGGGGGGAGGGCACAGGAGGAGGGGAGGGAAAGGGAGAGGGACCTGGAACTGACTTGTGAAGCAACCTTGTTTCTTACCTAAATTTAAACTGAAAAATAAAAAAACTTGGAATTGTATACTGAAATAAATCCTTTCCCCCTTAAGTTAATTAAATTTTTCTGGTCAGTGTATGTTATCACAGCAACAGAACTGAAGCTAGAACAGACCTTAGCTCCTGCAGGGTCTCCCCCTCCCCACGATTGCCAGGGTCTCCCACCTCCCGCTATTGCCACACCAGGGACCAAGACTTCTACTCGTGGGCTTTAAGTACTGCTGCCCACAATGAAACCATATGAAAATGTCTTAGTATTTTTTCATCTCTCACTCACAGACTTGCACCCACTGTTGCTGAACTGTCTCCTGCCCTTGTCCCTCACAACCTCCGCTCCTGCTCCCAGACATCTGCCCACCAGTGTTGAGCCTTCTCTCCTTCTCTCCGCAGGTGATGCTGGCTGACAGGAAGGGGACAGAGGAACTGTATGCCATCAAAATCCTGAAGAAGGACGTGGTGATCCAGGATGACGATGTGGAGTGCACCATGGTGGAGAAGCGGGTCCTGGCCCTGCTGGACAAGCCCCCGTTCCTGACGCAGCTGCACTCCTGCTTCCAGACAGTGGTGAGACAATGGCTTCTCTCTCACACCCTCTTTCCTGGAGGCTGGGTCACGGCATCAAGACCTCCTCATCCTGATAGCTGAATTCAGTTTCCTTTGGAGACGGGCCGCCACTGCTCACCCTTCATTCCAGCAGCATTTACATTCTATTAGCTATAAGTAATCTAGAGGTGATTTGGAGTCAGTAGGCACGTGTGCATGGATTACATACAAATACTAAGCCTCTTTAAATAAGGGGCTTGCACATGGGCGGATCTGGGTGTTCATTAGGGTCCTAGAAGTGACTGTATAGAAGAGGTCTTCATGCAAGCCCTATGTTAAGATTTACACAACACAGCCATAGATTCACAGCCCTGCCTCCTTCTTTAGCAAACCAGGCTAGCCTCAAACTCAGAGATCTGCCTTTCTCTGCTTCCCAGGTGCTGTGATTAAAAGTGTGTACCACCATGCCTGGCCAGCCCTATTTTTAAAGACCACTGATCCAGCTGCCAGGCACAGCATTAGAATACCAAGATACTCCATTTCCTAAAGAGTGTCCCTGTATAATGAATGACACATCAGGAGTAGCAAGCTATGCCCTGTCCTGCAGCCCATGAGCTGTGAAAAAATTGCAAGAAATAAATCCAAGTTATAATATTTCCTGGCATGTGAAATTCAGACTTTAGTGTCTGTAAGTCACCTTCTAAGGAGAAAGCCATATCCATCCTCTTCCCTGTCACCTGCAGCCACATCCCCACTGTGATGAGTTCCAAGATGAGTTCCAAGAGACATGCAAAACCTGTATCTACTATCTGACCCTTTTCAGGAAAAAAAAAGTCCGTATAAAAACCCTAATAACTGTGACTTTTGTCACAGAGTAAAATTAAAAGAAAACAAAATGTTCCTATCACCAAGGCACTGTGGGGCTTTCCATTCACCACAGAAACATACACATTAAGATACACTACAATAAGTTGGGCATGATGGTGCACGCCTTTAATCCCAGCACTCAGGAAGCAGAGGCAGGCGGATCTCTGCCAAGGCCAGCATGGTCTACAAAGTGAGTTCTAGGACAGCCAGGACTGTTACACAGAGAAGCCCTATCTCAATAAATAAATAAATAAATAAATAAATATATGTGCACCGCAACGTGACAGGGCAGACAGGTGCTCTCCACCTCCAAGCCCCCTTTTAAATGAGGTACAGTTGTCAGGCCTCACTCCTCCAACAGCCACCATCATCTATCATCTCATTTATAGCTAGCTGTCCTATGGTCAGAAATGGATCCTTGATTATGTCCCTCTTTTAAAATCTTGGAAAACACCCTAAATGCCTTTGGATGGGCAGAGTCTCAAAATGGGGCATCCCTACAGGCACGGCTTGTGCGGAGGATGCAGAGCCAGCATTGGCCACCGTGTGTCAGCCTCGCGCTGATCAGCTGATCACTTGGTCAGCTCCTGCCCCAGTACTCCCCACCCCCCAACCCCACTCCCCCCAACATACACACACACACACACACACACACACACACACACACACACACACACACAGCTCTCCTGGAGCACCAGAGAATGCCAGTGGCAAGGTAGAAGGAAGAACTGAGTCTCAACCCTGTTTTGTGACCCAGCAGACACTAGTGCAGCTCCAGAAAGTTGCAGAGCAAAGAAATGGAGATGTCGGTAAACACGGAGTGGAGCTCCTGACACCACTCCCGGCGGCAGCTCTCCCTCCCCAAGCTCAGTAACCTCTGCAAAAGTGGGGAGTTTTCTAGACTCGAGCAGAGGTGAGCTTTTACCATGCTCTTGTGCTGTTGGTTATTTCCTCATTAAATTCCCTGCTCTCTCCCATCTGCCCCAGCATAATGTCCTCATAAATATGCAGACGCACTTGGCTCCGTGATTTATGCCCTCCGTGGAACCAGCATTTAGCATACCAGTGACAGAAAATTTTTATAAAAAGGCAATATTTGAACACATTATGGAGGCAAAAGAACATTGATTAAAATTTCCATTTATGGTGCTCCCCTCCCCCCACTAAATATCATTAGGTTTGTGTAATTTATCAGTTCAACCTAGCCCAAGAGATGTATTTTCAGAAGCATCCATGTTACTTCATTAGCACAGCATACCTCCTAGATGTCACAAGCCAGATTTTACACATGGGCACCATCGATAACACAGGTTAAGCTGAAATGATGGGCCCATGTGGCATCTTCATACCATCGCTAGCTTAGAGATATATTATCTCTACTGGGGGCCCTTACAGTAATAAGATGCATATTAAACTGGGAAACAGGCATGTTCTCAGACACTAGCTTAGAGATATATTATCTGTGTGGGGCATGAGGGGGGCCTGGGATGAATGAAGCCCTTACAGTAATAAGGCTCATATGAAACCAGGAAGCAGGCATGTTCTCAGTCAGCTGTCACCTACGGGTGATTAAAGGACATTACCATTCCCAAGGCCCCATGCCATAGGGTGAGTTATGTATCCCCCACCATCACCGGGAAGAGATTGGAAAGAGTGCCCAGCAGAGCATATATACCAAGTGCCGCCCCATACTTGCTCATGAGAAAGCAAAGCAGACCAGCTCTGCTGGGGAGTAGCCCTACTCACTTGTGAACCTTGGTCTACAGGACCGGCTATACTTCGTCATGGAATATGTCAACGGTGGGGACCTCATGTACCACATTCAGCAAGTAGGGAAATTTAAGGAGCCCCAAGCAGTGTGAGTACTTTTTTATTTTTATTAATATTGTGGGTTGATTTTTTTTGGTTTGTTTTGTCTTGTTTTGTTTTGCTTGAGTCCTATAATAGACAGCCTAATACTCCCAACTGGGAACTCCTGAATAAAATGTCCAGGGTGACTCTACTCACTTGAATCTAAGCATTGAAACTTCCCAGAGTAGCAGACACACAGACAGGACTCATGTATAACGGATATTTCTAAGGACCAGTTGATTCTGTTCTCAGCAAATTGGACATGTTTGTGCCCGCCCTCTCCATCACCTACTATCACCCCGTAATCAGACTACTTCGCCATTCATTGAGTGGATGGTGATTCACACTCATATGTATGCATCCAGTAAGCGTACAAAAGGCATGTGAGGCCCGGTCCTTGGGGAGTCCACACCCTCACATGGCATTTGGAAAAGCCACCCAACTGTTCTTAACACGTCGCTGAAACTGTGCAAGTGTACCGAGGGTACCACTAATACCCCAGAACTGGAGAGTGGGAAGAACGTTAACTGGGGAACACTCAATCCAGAGCTGAGGGGCGTCGTCCAAGAAAAGGATGAGAAGGGATGGAAGCCAAGTCCAGGGAGCGAGCGGCCTGCAGCTCAGGTGATGTGAGGTGGGGAGGGCTAGGTGGAGGGTACAGAGCCTGCTGGGAGCGTAGCTGAGAAAGGAGCAGAGAGAGGGGCTTGATCTCATGGAAGGTCCCACAGAGCCCCCTGCCTGAGGGAAGATGACAAAGATGATGGGGCTGGCGCAAGGGACCTGTGGGAACCTTCAGGGAAGAAGAGTCCTTTATCACTAACGAACATTCTAGAAGAGGAAAAGGAAAAGTTGGTGACTTGGGCAAGAGAAGGAAACCCTTAAAGTGTTGTTCTCAGGCTGGGGTGAGGGCAGCTGTCAAGGAGGAAGGATCCCAAGGGGCCAATCAGAAGCTTATCCTGCATCATCACACTGGGATGCTCCTTGCCTATGGGAATACAGGAGCAGAGAAATGGGTCCCAGCTGGAAATGGAGGAGTCATCTGCAGGGTGCAGGAGGGGACATGGACCATGGGAGGAGTCATCCTCAGGGTGTGGGGGGACATGGACCATGGGAGGAGTCATCGGCAGGGTGCAGGAGGGGACATGGACCATGGGCGGAGTCATCCTCAGGGTGTGGGAGGGGACATGGACCATGGGAGGAGTCATCCGCAGGGTGTGGGAGGGGACATGGACCATGGGAGGAGTCATCCGCAGGGTGTGGGAGGGGACATGGACCATGGGAGGAGTCATCCTCAGGGTGCAGGAGGGGACATGGACCATGGGAGGAGTCATCCACAGGGTGCGGGAGGGGACAGGGTCTCACATCCAGGGAGTCTGCTACTTAAACAGAAGCAAACTGATCAGAGAGCTGGTTTCCATACCTAGACTCGGAGGCATAGTGGAGTGGGCCTGACCCATTAGTCAGCAAATGGGAATGGGGTTGGGGACCTCTGTGATCTGAAACATAGAGGAATCCAGGGCCTGTGCGGGATAATCTGCTCTAGAAAGATTAACTGCAGGCACACAGGGAGCTCTTTAATCGCAAGCTTTAAAAACCATCAAGGGGGCTTTTTCTGCTTTTATTTCTACTAAGAAACAAATGCATTTTTACACCTGCCCTTATCCCCTCATTATACATCACAGAACTTTAAGACGCTCGCATCGTAAAATAAAGCTCAAAAGCCCAGAGCCAGAAAAGTAGAGGTAGCAGGACCTTATGTCACCAAGGCACTGGATGGCACCCTGTCTAATACCCTTCCATTCCGTTTGTGCTACAGAAAAGTTTAAAAAAATATATATAGGAAACATGAAAACAACACAAACATCACCTGTGATTCTATCTCTCCTCTCCCTATCCCCCCAACCCCTCCCCCGCCACCAGCCCCTAGAGGCACCCCCACTAAGAACTTGGTCTTCAGATTTTCTCCACTCCACAGCTACTGCGATTATTTTAACCCTCCGGGTTTAATTACCCAGGCCTGGACTTGTGGCTCCATGGACTTCCAAGGCTCCCCAGTGCTGTGTAAATTTTAAAACATTATTCTGCATTTAATCTGCGTTCCAGATATTAACCTATTAATGATTTTGAAGTGATGGAAATGGCTGTTTTTATTATGAATTATTTAGAAGGGCAAACTCAGGCATGAATCATGGCGTGTGGCCCATTTATTCCACCCAGCACTTCACCAAATGAATAAAGTAGCTAGAGCACTTGGCAGCCCAGGCTTTGTCTTCTGGGAGTGGTTACCTTCTCAGACGCCGAAATCGACTTCATCCACGTGTTGGAGAATTGAAACTTTCCCCACTCAGCCACACTCCTGACACAGGGGAGTCACACAAGTATTCACTCCTTGAATTGTCATACCAGAAATGATTGTGTGGGGAGTAAATGAGCTGCTCACTTTCCACAGACAACGAAAATAAGTCTTTCTCATTGGAGTGACGGAGAGACAGGCAGAGCTAGCTGTGGAAAGTACATGTGCAGGGCGACCTCAGAGAGTTCTAGAGTGGGTCTCTCTCTCTCTCTCTCTCTCTCTCTCTCTCTCTCTCTCTCTCTCTCTCTCTCTCTCTCTCTCTCTCTCTCTCTGTATGTGTATGTGTGTCTCATATCTCTCTGATGATCAAATGTAAGTCAAAGAAGTATCAGAAAGCCCGAAACCCAGATGTCTGAAGTACACTTTCTTCTGCAGATTCTACGCAGCAGAGATCTCCATCGGACTGTTCTTTCTCCACAAAAGAGGAATCATTTACAGGTGTGTCTCAGAGCTCTTCCTGCAGCAGGACGGTAGAGGGGTTTGGGAACCTCTGTGGGCAGGGGACTGATTCTGTGATGGGGACTTCAGATGTGGAGTCCACAGCTCCTCAGGAATGCAGACTTGCTGAGACTCATCTGGCCCTGCAGCCTCGGGGCAAACCAGAGTCACTTTGTGATTTCGAGACTCAGAGATGTTACATGTCTCCTTTCTGTTCGTCACATTTTCTGCTCTCCTGACAGCACTTCCTCTGCCTTTCATTTGTATGGAGGACAGAGAGCAGCAGAAGCTGGACTGCCATTCTAGATTGCCATTCTAGCCAGTCAGCAGGAGAAGAGCATGGGAAGCTGGGGAGAGAGGGAAGCAGGCACTGCTGAATTAAATGCTTTGGGGTTGCAACGAAAGTGTGGTACCAGAAAAGAAAATGTCTTGAATAATTAAGAAAACATTGGCTCAGGCAGGATAGGGGAGATATGGAAGACAGAGCTACATGGAAGGTAGCTCTAAGCCTGTCATTTGGGATACCTAGATGTGTGTGTGTCTTTATCTCCACCTGTGTGTAGGATATTAATAAATCATCTGCCTGGAATCTCTCCCCAAACCTGATCATTTGGAATCCCTGGATTTGTAGCCACAAACATGACTGAGAATCAGTAATTCAACCATTTATCATTCACTTGGCATTTAAATACATACCTACAGTGTCCCAGGCTCTGGAGAAAGAAAGACGCAGTAATTCCTTGGTGTCTGGTCTCCAGAGACTTGTCCTGCAAGTGCCACTGAGATGGCAGCTGGGCAAGGATCCTTCGTTTTCACCAGCTGCAAGCAAATTAAGTCATGTCATGACGGTCACCTGCTTCCTTGCAGGGATCTGAAGCTGGACAATGTCATGCTAGATTCGGAAGGACATATCAAGATCGCTGATTTTGGGATGTGCAAGGAACACATGATGGATGGAGTCACGACTAGGACCTTCTGTGGGACTCCTGATTACATTGCCCCAGAGGTAAGGGTCCCAAGGTATTTTAAATCTACAAACACATGCCCTCTAGAGAATATAAGGTCACAGAGTAAACTAAATGCAAACAGGGAAAAAGAAACAGACATGCCCATCTCACATAGCAAAGCTGTGTCCTATTTCCTGGAACTTCTGGCTTTGTTCTCTGTACCTGTGAGACAGTTGCTTGATAAACTGTTTATCTTGCATGCCTGTGGTCAAAGTAATTTCAGAGACACTGGAACTGGGGGAATTTGCTTGCATATACAATCTGCCTGTAAATGTCGAGTGAGAAGGTAGTCACCATCGTGGTTCTTGGCATCTTTGGAGTAATGAGGACTCTAACCACATGGTGTTCAGATTCTAATCTAGGAAGATGCAGTTGATGGGGTTAAAAAAGCATGGTTGGTTCCATCATTTGTGTATGTAGTAGGGCCGTAGCCCTGGCTTCTGCTATGCCTGAGCTCTTAGTGTTTCTTTCTACCTTCCACACAGCAACAGCATCTTCTGATTGCTGTGAATTTTCCAACTCCAACCCTCTTTTTCGCACAACAGCTCCTGTGATTATCATACCCTCAAATAGTCTGTATTGGTCTCCATATCTCTAGACCTCAAGTTGCATCTGGAAAAATCTTTACTGTGGAAGATTATATCCACAGGTTCTGAGGATTCAAACCTGGACATCTTTGGGGAAGACCTTCTGTTGCACATAATCATTTTGAGGACACTTTTTACTAGCAAACACACTTAAGCACATTCCGGACATACTTTGGGAATTTGGGAACTCTTCACACAGAGAGAATGTTGCGGATACCCTGGTTTCTGAAGCCTCCATTTTTCAGTTCTGTGATGAGCAGCAACCACTGCATGTGGCCTAGCGTGCACCAGGCACTTGGAACCCCAACCCACCCTTAGTCCTCAAAGCAAATCCCTTGAGAGAGGTTATCATCAGGCCTCCCTTCACATGAAGTGGCTAAGGCCGAAGAAATATGTCTAGTGCTAAATAGCTAAGAAATGCTGTAGACTGAGTTTCTGTCCTACTCTGTCCTGCAGCCATTCAGTCCCAAATAAACACACAGCTTTATATTAATTATAAGCTGTTTGGCCTATTGCTCAGGCTTATTACTATCAGATTCTTACCACTTAAATGAACCCATCATTTTTATCTATGTTTAGCCACATGGCTTGGTACCTTTTTTCAGTAAGGCATTCTCATTTTGGTTCCTCTGCATCCATCTCTGCCTTCCTCTTCCCAGAATTCTCCTAGTCTGGTAGCCCCACCTATACCTCCTGCCAGGCTACTGGCCAATCAGTGTTTTTATTAAACCAATACAAGTGACAAATCTTTACAGTCATCAAGAACATTATCCCACATCAAAATGCTAGAATTAGGCACTGATCCCACATTCAAGCTGTCCCCATGATGTCTACACCACTCCCATTGAGCAAGCATCTCATGTGCACAGACTGCACTCTTACCTCTTTCCTTGGAACAGGGTCCTGCTGCATAGTCCAGTGTCAACTTGACACAGTCTAGAATCCCCTAGTATGTGGTTCTCAACCTTCCTAATTCTGCAACCCTTTTATACAATTCCTCATGTTGTAATGGCCCCTAACCATAATATTATTTTGTGGCTACTTCAGAACTGTAATTTTGATACTGTATGAACTGGAGTGTGAATATCTGATATGTGACCCCTGTTGGGGGTCGTGACTCACAGGTTGGGAACCATTGCCCTAGGAAGAGCTTCTCAATGAGGGATTGTTTAGTTCTGGTTGTGCTGTGGGCATGCCCATGGAAGTTTATCTTGGTATGTTGTTTGACATGGAAAGACCCAATCCGTGGTGGGTGGTCCTGTTCTCTAGGTTTGGGTCCTGGGCTATATGAGAGTGGAGAAGACAAGCCAACTACCAGACATGCGTGCATCCATTCTCTGCTGTTCACTGTGCACGTGTCTCTTGTTTCAAGTTCCTGCTGCCTCCACTTCCAACAGTGACAGACTGGAACCTGGAACTCTGCTAAAATAAGTTCTTTCTCCCCAAGCTGCTTTTTGTGGCAACAACAAATCAGGAAAGCAGAACACCCAGGCTGCTTGCTTCCTTACCCCTCCCCTGCCCCGTGCTGTGAGTACAGACAGGGCCACCATGCCCAGCCCTGGCTTCCTTACCCCTTCCCTGCCCATGCTGTGAGTACAGCCTTGGGCCACCAGGCCCAGCCCTGGCTCACACTAGAAACTCTCTGTGCTAAGTGTGATACCCCCGGGGCCCCTGCCCTTTAGTGCTGACAGCTCAGGAGAAGAGACATTCTTGGAGCCACAAGCTATGTTCAGTTTTTTCTCACTGACCCGTTGACTCTCACGGAAAACATAGGCAATGCAGCCTGGGGAAAATCAGTTGTCTCACCGGCAATGCAGCCTGGGGAAAATCAGTTGTCTCACCGGTTCTCTTCCGAGACTCTAGACATCTGACATACATGGCCCCAAGAATATTTAGTGTTTTGGGAAAAATCAAATGGGTTCAAGGTTTCAGAAGTTGCTCAAAGGTTAAACTAATTCTATCATCTATGTAAATCTTCCTGTCAGGCAGAAGCAAAATAATTATCTTAGATGGCATTTTCCCTAATAGGTGAAGCAAAGATTGAAATATTTATGGCTATTTGTTCAAAAACCTTGAAATCAATTCATGCTGTAGCATCTCCCTAATGAGTAAAGATGGGTCAAGGTGAAAAATGTCACTCACAGATATGACTTGAGAGTAAAGATGAAAAGCCACAGAAGGGGTACTATCAGAAAATAATTTTAGAGGACGCATAAAGGCTCTCCTTGCTCCAACATACCAAGAATTGTCAGCAAGAGTCCTTGAGAAGACTTGTCACAAGTCACACACTTCTCTACCGACTCTTAAGTGCCAGTCTGAGAGGCAGGATTCAGAGTCCAGAGCATCATCTGAGATGACCAGGCTCTTGTGTCATAGAACAAAGAGTTAGACCAGGGACACACTGCTATTGATAGACCTCGCAACCATTTACTGAGAAAGAGAGGAGCTCTAGAGAATGAAGTAATTCAGAAAACTGGGAAAAGCCCAAAGCTCAGAGGCCACCAGGACCACAAGAGTCTCATGAGTCTTTACTCTCCCTCTTCGAAAGTCAGCTACACAGCCCCCTCCCTCTTCGATGCTTGTAGATCCTGGGACGATTTCCCTCACAGATATTGTATCATCATTTGGAGCCACACTAGGAGGGATCTCCTATCTTTCTCCCATGAGTTTCCCTCCTGTCAGTCTTGATGGCTTGCCTGGGAGAAAGGTGATTTAAAATGCCTACCTCACCAGTGTTGTCCTGTGACTTACCCAGGATCATACACCTGGTTACAGGCAAAGTTAGATGTGGATGTGAACCCTAAACCTCCTGACCCCAGAGCCCATACATTTTTTTTTCATGTGTTACATTGTCTCTAGGGTCATGGGAGAAAAGCTATTTAAAATGAGCATTCAGGGACTGGGGCGATGGCTGAGTGGGTGAAGTGCCTGTTGTTCAAGCATACAGACCTGAGTTCAGACCCCCAGCACCTGTGTGAAAGCCAAACACGATAGCACACTTCCATGATGCTAGTGATGAAGGGACAGAAACGGGGATCCTGGGGACTTTCAGGTTAGCTAGTCTAACTGTGTGTCTGAACTCTAGGTTCAGTGAGAAAGCCTGAGTCAATAATATGGAGCGAGATTCAGGACCAGTGTTGACCTCTGATTCCACAGACACACACAGACACACACACACACACACACACACACACACACACACACACACACAGTGGTGGAGGAATGAGTAATAAACACTTGTTTAGCATAATGTTTTTATTGATTATTTGGGAATTTCATATTCCCTTCCCAGTCCTTCCAGGTCCACCCCGCCACCCTGGTGACCTCCCACAAGGAAAGGCTGTGAGGAGGTATAGACAATTAAAAGAAAAAATTAAAAATCTCAGTGAGAAAACAGCTCTCGCGGTCTTTGCAGCCAAGCAGTCAGGCAGTAAATTGGCACTTGGCTAACAGAGAGAGGCGAATGAGAAATGAGAGTAAAGCCAAGCGGCAGCCCCGGCAAGCCTCCTCCAGCCGCCACGGACCGTGGGCCCCACGCCTGGGCTTAAGAAGAAAAAGCAAGTGCTTGATTAAAGAAAGAAAATGATAAAGCCAGCGAGGCTCTCTTTCTATCAGGGACCAGTTTCTCTCTCTCTGCGGGGTCATGGTCCAGAGACTCCGGCTCTGAACGGAAATGAATCTGTGTTCTCCCTCAGAGCAACACTTACAAGAGCCAAACTCAGGCTCTCCATTGGTGTCCTCCTTAAGTTGTGTGACTCTCCTCCAGACGTCTGTGAACTGGGCAGGGTACACGACCTCATGTGTTTTACCGCCTGCCTGCAACTCTTCATCTCCTAATTCCCCAGCCTCAGAGCCTCTCCCCTCTGCCACCTCCTCTGTAGCCTTGCTACCATCTATGCTCTTGTACCCTAGAAGACAGAGTGCCTCTTCGTCCCCTACTGTCCCCTCCCAGTGGCATTCAGAAAGAACCAGGTCCCGGTAGATTATCTGTGTTGATGACTGCCTGTTACATCCCAGACCATTTGCTGTTTGATCTGGTCACTGAGTCTATTTAGTGAATAAGGGAATGATACAGAGATTTGGTTCATTTTTCTCAAGGCCCCAGTGGGCCTGGGTGTTGTAGCCAGGCCTAGGCTGCTTTCCCCTGCAGTGCCTGTTGTCCTGAGAGGAAGAGAGTTGCAGTTTCCGCCTCAGATGACACCCTGAGCTCACAACACACCCCCACATAAGCCTGTGAGCTGTTCCCACAGGCACAGCTCATTTCCAATGCCCAGAGGACATTCTGTTGTTCCCTCCAGGTACTCAGGGACCTACATTAATTGGCTCTTCATTTAGAGATTTATTTGAATCCTGTGAAAATGGGTCAGGAATTTCCGAGCTGTATTTCTCCTCTTCCTCTGTGAAATTGCCTA